ATACACGCGTTTCTCAGTGCCGTGACGTCAGTGGCAGACAGGCTTGCCAGTTGAGCAGGCAATCTAATAAATGGATTATACCTAGAATTTGTTTCGTGCTGCTGCGCGGGTGCTGGAGCGAGCTTCCACAGGCTTCATTTGAAACAATGACACTGCTTGTACACAGTTGGGAACAAATCTATACAGTCCAAAGATTAAACCCCAGCCTGCCGCTGGGGTCACTTTTTCGTTGTTGTCAGTAGAGATTTTTGATTTGAAAGACATGATGAGAACTAGACTTGTAAGTGTAATAACTCCCCGAAAGAAAAATAATATTGTAGCCTAATATTTTATTGTTTTAAATAAACCACGCATCGCAGAAACAGGAAACTCCTCGAGAGTGCGACTGTAGCGGTTGGGAAAGGACGCGAAAGTTTGGACCTTGCGGTAGTATCTGGCATTTATATCGATTGAAAATATTTAACAGCAAGAAAGTACAGATTTTTTTTTCTTGTTGAGAAGGGCCACATGATGCGAAAAATGACCGAATATACTGCTGAAACCGCAAACGAAATTCGGACGGCAGCCTCCTCCACTTCTGCGAAAATCGGAAACGATTCGAGAGATCCGAGTGCCAAATATTTTTCGGACGGAGCCTTCGATTTTTGGACGGCTCAACGCGAGAAAACCCGGTGAAGCAAAAACCGTAAAACATTGCAATTTCCGTGCGAAAAAAAAAAAAAAAAATATATATGTGGTTTATTTTTTTAAAAACGCGTACAACGGTTTTCGGATGGTCCGATTCCCGGTAACAAGGCGTTACAATAGTTGAGCTAGTTGGTTGGTCACGTTGAAATGGTATTAAAACAGCGCAGAAAAAGACGGAGGACCAGTGGAAGGAGAACAAAGACACAACGGTGACTTACAATTAAAACATTTACTTGTGCATGGTACAGCAAGTAAACATAAAAATAACTAACCGGATAGACACAGAAATAATCAACCCGATAACACCCCTTCCCCTATCATGCCGACACACGCCTACACGTACTTGCCCGACATCCTAATAAAAGCAACCTCGCCACTAAAAAAAAGCCTTGTCAATTTCTTTGCCAGACTTACTTTTGTGCCGCGTTGAAATCCAAATGTCATCAAATAGCGGAGTACGTTTACACCTATCACAATGGGCCGCAAAGTGGCCAGACGGAGAGGAGCGCGAGGAATGAGCGTTCCTCACCCGGACATTAACGCACCTGCCCGTCTGTCCAACGTACACTCTGCCACAGGACAAGCGGATCAGGTACAACACCCAACAGGCACAGGCGTCATACCGGTTGCGGTGGTGTACCTCATATTGCGCCCCCGGGCGTCCACCTTGATTTAAGCTGCACACAGTCATGACAACTTGGATTGTGCCGAAAACACTACTGGTACGATGTACCTACTGGAAACTTTCTTATTACTTTGGGACAACTTTCTTAATATCGTGGGACACCTTGTGAACATACGGCAAGACCACGGGTCTTGAAGTTGGTCTTCGTCTCGTCTCAGAACAAAACGGCCCTCTAAACACCTTGACCAAAGATTCTATAACACCCACGACAACTCCCAAAGGGAAGCCAGCAGTGGACAACCTTTTGATCTGAATAAAAAACCTGGCGTTACAACTATGATGGCACAACTTCAACAAGGCGGTGCGGTGACTACTAGACGCCGCAATGGTTCTCTTTACAAGCATGGGGTGTGCGGAATCATACATAAGGAGCCCCTTCTTAGACTTAGGCTCATAGGACCAACACAAATGGGAGGGCTCGCACCGAATATTGAGGTCCAAAAAATGCAGGGAACCCTCTCAGGGTCTCGCACTTAAACTTTAGGCCCGGAGACTATTCCGTGAACATACTCAACGTCGAGGAAACTATTCTTACCCTCTGAGCTTATCGACTTACCCTTCGACCACCCGTTCATCCAACCTCTCAGCAATTGCCCTATCGAACTTCGCTAAATAAATGTCACCGAGGACAGGTGCAACGTTCGACCCAATACATATACCGCTCTTCTGCAAAAAAAAAAAAAAATAAAAGAAAAAAAAGAAGAAAAAGTATCGATTTCAAAGGTAACAAAGGCGGACATGAGGTAAAAACGCAGTAACTCTAGGAAGGAATCACTCGCAATCCCAGAGGCATGAGCTCGTAATTGGCGACGTGAGCGATCGAAAGCGTCGCTGCGGTCGGCCCACTACAATTGGCCGAATGCTGATTATGACGTCAGCAAAGGATGTCTCATCGACGGAAATAAGAGGAATGTAAGAACTTCAATTTTGACGGTGTTGGCATTGTTGCTTTGAGAGCGCTATAATTTCAGGCTTCCACCATGCTCATTGCAAACACCATCGAACTTGTTCACAAGGCAATGACGTCACGAAAGGCAATGACGTCACGAAAGGCAATGACGTCACGAAAGGTAACCGAACGAGGGCGCCACCGAAACATCTTGCCGCTAATAGGGAGCGGAATAAAACATACCCTCCCATCCAGTGCTGGGAAGTACTTTAAGTACATTGTACTTAAAGTACTACTTTAAGTAAGTTTAGGAAAATTGTACTTTACTTCAAGTACATTCTCCGAGTATGTACTTCTACTTTAAAGTATTTTTCCGCTACTTTCTGAGGAAAGTACATTCCCGACTTCAAAGTACATTCCTTAAATTTGGCTTTTGTTAAATTTGTACCACTAAATGATGCTTTATCAACTCCGAAGAATTACTGAGAGGGATATTCTACTCTCACCATTAAAGTGAGCAGGCGACACATCGCTCCGTTTGTTCTGGGCGCGGCTTTCTCGTAGCTTTTTGAACTCTCGCTACTTCTCGGTCGTTCACGCAAGCAAGGAGGTTTAAGATACCAGGTGAGCAAAATTAATAATAATGTACCACCTGACACTGTAGTACGGAAAATTAAATTTTCAAGTCGAAGTAAAAGACAACAGAGGAGTACGTCACAATGTTTTGAGACATTCTCTTTTGTCTTTCTCTTCTATTTGAAAGTTAATTAATTTTGTCACACCTTAATCTCAGGTGTCACATTATGATTAATTATCATCAACTCGCTTGCACACTCACTGTTTTTTTTTTTTTTCCGCAAGCAATCCTCTCTATGAGAGGATTGCTTGCGGAGGCCACGGTGCTGACGTCATGTTCTCTCCTAGTACATCTAACACCCGTTGGTGCAACAATCCAGTGCAAGGGGCGCCAAATTCAGAAGATGGACTCCATTCCAGAAAATAACTACTCTGTAGCCACTTGACTTTATGAAATATTCACCGCAATTTTTGAATATATAGGTCATGAGCCCCTGATTACCCCTGGCCAATGCTACTAGTTAAAAATTCACTGTATATGGGAATGAAAGGGTATCATGAAAGATTGTGTTAAAATACTTGTACTTTAATTTTAGAGTACATTGTATTTATAGTACTTTACTTCAAGTACGTTGCACACAGTGTACTTAATACTTTACTTAAAGTACATCATGTCTCATTTACTTTGTACTTTAATTTTAGAGTACATTGTATTTATAGTACTTTACTTCAAGTACGTTGCACCCAGTGTACTTAATACTTTACTTAAAGTACATCATGTCTCATTTACTTTGTACTTTACTCGAAGTACCTTTTAGGTGTATTTTACCCAACACTGCTCCCATCAAATGACACCAGACCAGGGTGTAAGATAGACAGGTGGGGAAACGGCCCATAGAAGCCTGCCGCAGCGCCGTGATCGGATTGTGTACTCGTCTGCTTGCGGGTACCCCCGACTTGCGACAGATGGCGCTGCGGCGAGAGGAAAAAAATCGGAATCGGATTTGCATGGAACTTTATGGGAGAGTGCGCAAAATTAACCGAGAGCACGACAGTCTTCCATTGAAAATCCACGAGAAATCATCTCCGTCAGTTTAGCCGGTCGCCACCAGTCGCCCACCCGGAGTGAGAGTTCGCGGTGCTCCACATAGATGGCGCCACAGAAAAAGAGAAACCCGAGGGGGACACAATCCGGACGCTCATTTGGCTCTCGTTTCCCCACCTGTCTATCTTACACCCTGCACCAGACCAGGGTGTAAGATAGACACGTGGGGAAACGGCCCATAGAAGCCTACTGCAGCGCCGTGACCGGATTGTGTACTCGTCTGCTTGCGGGTACCCCCGACTTGCGACAGAAGCGCAGCGGCAAGAGGAAAAAAAATCGGAATCAGATTTGCGTGGAACTCTATGGGAGAGTGCGCAAAATAAACCGAAAGCACGAAAGTCCTCCATTAAAAATCCACGAGAAACCATCTCCGTCAGTTTAGCCGGTCGCGATCGGTCGCCGACCCGGAGCGAGAGTTCGTGGTGCTCCACATAGATGGCGCCACAGAAGAAGAGAAACCCCAGGGGGACACAATGCGGTCGCTCATTTGGCTCTCGTTTCCCCACCTGTCTATCTTACACCCTGCACCAGACCACCAAACCAAGTGGGCTATGAACCGAAACCGAAACTAGGGCTGAACTTCCCGGTTTTGGTTTCTGTTGTTTGCCAAGTTGGTTCTTTTTTAATCACAGTTGCCGAATTTTTTTATTATTTATCAATTTAAAGTTTGAGTTTTGATTCCGCTTTGAGCCCAAAAGTGTTTTTTTGCTGCAGAAAAATGTCCAACTTTGTACTTATTCTTTGTAAATTTATAATTCTATTTCAACTGCATGCGCCACCAAGGTAGAACTCCACCGTAGGATCAAGGAAATATTATCCCTCCTTGGAAGGATAGAAATATTAAGGTTGAACAAAATAATTGAGCGATCTTCATTTGTAACAAAATTCTGTCCTTGTAGTCCTGGTAGTGCAGCATTTTTTTTAAATCCAGTTTGGTTTAAGTGAAGCAATCCAGAGCCATCGCAATCCACTATGCGCCGTCACGCCATCTGACGTTCACGGTAAGCAACGAGGTTGTGCGTACGTGAGTCAACGACAAGGTGTTTTTATCGGTACGAACGAAACTGCACACAATTTATCGCGGACGTAATTCTTCTTTCACGAACGTGCAGTTTCTCAGGCATTACTTGACAATTGACAGGCGTCCCACGACCCCATTTTGTTGACGTACGACCTTAGCTGAGGTGAGGATGAGGCCAGTTCAAACACCGCAGTTGTCGCAACGCTGCCTATTTTTGACTTCTCCCGAAGACGTATCTCTCTGATCTCGACGTTCAGACGAATTGATCACTTGAAGGACTGACGGTTTATTGATCGCGAATTCTCGATGTAGGTTTTTCCACGAGCTTATCTTTTGTGTACCACCATAACCGTTCCCTCACCCATCAAACCTTACATCCTTACAACATTCTTCAACATTGTTGTGCGATCACGCTTTGCTACCTTTTAGGAGTAGGGACATGTTGTGAATTAGAGTGTACTGACGTGCGTCGAGACAGCGCTGTTTATTTCAAACGAAGTTCTAATATTTTTCTTTCCTTTTAGCGCTTTGACGACGTGCTCAAAACCAGGTTTCAAAGGTACGTGCTTCCTGGAGGTCGTTGGCATCTCGCGCTGTTTTTTGCCTACCTATGCGATGCTAACTTTTTTTCCCCCTCTGCGTGTTGTTCAGATGCACAGGCTCTCGCATGGTGTCGTGTACAGGCAGTACCGCCTGTCACTGAGGGCGCAAAGCCTACAGCGCTTCTCTTCAAATTCGTCCTCGAGCTCCGTCGCCACAGGCACCGTTGGAAACGAAACCAAAGGTATGCCTTACTTTAAAACTCGTTCATCGTACGCACCTTTCTTGCCAAACCGCATTTAATACTCTTTCTGGGCAGCAAACTCGCTTGGCATATTTTCAGGCTGCAAGCTTGCAAAAACGGAACACGAATATGGCGGGCTGATATCATATAAACCCATGTATCTCGCACACTTGGTTGAATTTGTGTACCAGAAGCGTCAGAGTTAGGAAACTGCATTAGCGGACATTGCAATGAAGGGCTAAAGGCACATTCGCACCTCAAAACAGTCGCGCGACCTGCTAGAGACATACAACTAGTCACTACCAACGTCCGCACTGTGCGCAGTCAGCGAGGAGTGAGCGCCGAATCGCTCTGGAAAGCTCTTCGGAGCCACCTTCAATTCTGCCCTTCCCTTTACAGCACGAGTTTGTGTCTTGCTACTTTCCCATTCTTGTTGGCATGCAGCGACACATGCTTTGATTTTAGCATAAGAAAATAGTTTGAATATTGGCCTGGGACCTACTAAATCATATGAAAGTGTAATTGATGCATCTGTGTGCACTCATTCGAGCTTGCGTGGTACATTATTTACCGGTCAAGCCAAAAATGGCACTGATCTGCTGCCTGGTGAAATCCTTTTCCAGGCACTCATTCAAATTGGGGTGCTGCTTGTTATAAAGGAATGTGTACTCTTTAACAGCATTATTCTGTGCTGCTGTGGTGACCTCCGTGGCTGCTACTGCGGGCTGAGGTGTTGGGTCGGCATGTTGGTTGCATCTCCCGCCGAAATGCTGAAGCTAAGAGGGTATTCCCACGGGGGATGCTTTTTGGGGAGGTATGTGCGTGACGCCAGTGATGAGCGGAACCAGCGGGACTCCCTCCCCGACTCCAGCATTCGCATGAACGGCGGGGAGCTGGGAGGCATGTCAGCGTTATCAGATGCATTTAGCGCTCGCATTCTTGACAACGGAGATCGGTGCGAGGTGATGCGAAAACCACAAACTGCCTTCTGCTAAAAAGAAAGAGCTCCTTGAATGGGTGGATGCAACACAAAGAATGTGGAATCCAAAACCGGTTGTATGAGGAGTGGCTTGAGGACTGCATTGATACATATCGAAGATTCCTCGGAATGCCTCGGATGGCGTGCGCAGCAGCGCGAGCCACAACCAGTTAGCCAACCCCGATGCCGCTGCCGGTATTGTGCTGAGAAAAATCTGTAAAGTTGCCAAACACGCCTACAAAATACCGCCAATTGCAAAGAGATCCCATGCCAAGATGGGGAGTGTTTGTGCAGCCCGAGCTAAAGCCCCCCCACCCCCATGGGACGTCTATGTCCGTGCGGCTCTGTACAAAAACGTGACGTCGTTACCTTGTGATGCACATCCCAGGGTGTAAAGGGAGGGATTTCTCCCCCGTGTGAATGCCCTTTAAACACACGTGACGTGCCACATGTCGCTTCCGAGGCGCCGCCGATTGTCACAGCAACTGGGCGACTGCTCCGAAAAATTGGTGAGGGAGTGACTGCTCTCCAAAGCGGTCGCTTTTGTGACTATGACCATGGCTTGGCGACCAAAAAGCGGTCGCACGATCTGCAATTCATGAGCGTGAATGGCCTTAAGACGGGGCTGACCAAACTGTGGCTGGCAAGTGGAGTGCAGCTTGTCGTGGGCATCAAAGTTTGGCTCTGGTGATCTAGGGACTCCCGGAACAAAATAGCTGGTTTCAAAAGGGTTTTCTTGTTCATGAAAACATTGCAGGGACCAACAAGCTGTAAACAAGCTGAGCATTTAGTGACTCTGACACTGGCGTTGGCACCGAGTTAGTGTGCACGAGAATATACGGCAATGATGAAAAGAGGTAATATGTACCACATTGAGGCCTCATCTGGATCTTGCATGCTACGTGGTGAGCCAGGGGCCAGAGTTCTCGTTCGTCAAAGCCTTACCAAGGTGTGGCCACTGTTTGATCTGCTCCAGCATATTGCTGGTCTCTCGTAGATCTTATGTTGTGCACATACCAAGTTGAGGCCCGCTGTTTAGGATGCCAGCGGGATTAGTAAAACACCTCTTCGAGAGGAACTATGAAGCACAGCCTTTAGCGGGTGCTTTTGAGCTGTGGAAGCCCCTGGTGGCTCCGAGGCAATGTGCCAACCTTCCTAATCTGCAGGTGGCGGGTTTGAATCACAGCTGGGAAACCCGCAGTCTGGCGGAGGCCTGTTGCGGCGGAGGCGCCATATGACTGGCATTTTGGTAGTGAGTCAAACAACCCCGAATGGTCTAAATTACTTTCAAAGGCCCGTTCCATTAGAATCCATTCAGAATAGGTCAGCCCGTTTCTATTCAGAATAGGTCAGCCCGTTTCATTCTTTGCAACTACCCCCCTGCTGCTAGTGTCATATCAATGAAAAATAGTTTATCTTTACCACCTTTCTCTTTGCGCCATAACATTTCTCGCTTATGTCTACCGTAAAATACCGGACAAGCGCCCACTCAAAATTTAGAGATAATCGCGGAAAAATGGGGGATGGGCGCTTGTCCGGTCATCAATTTTACATATCAATCTGCTGTGCATATTTTCTCAGATCTCAGAAATTTGGGAATGGGCGCTTAATGTGGAATGGGCGGATGCGCGGTATTCTACGGTATTTCATAAAATGTATTTTTATAATCCTCTCCGACACAATCAGATGATTAGTCCCCCCTTTTACATTTCATCCCGTTTTGATGATCAGCACTAAGTTGGAGTTCCAAGTTCATTGACCACTACATTTCAACCTTATTTTCTACTTCGCACAGCCGAAGAATGGAACCACCTCTCCGGGAACCTGTTTAGAAATCCCATCACTATCTATTTTAGCAGTGTTGTTTGTTGTATACTGTAAACAACTTAATTTTCGTGAGGACCTAATTTTCGCGAATCACCTACAATTTGCGAAAAACGGGTCCCGCAAACAATTCTGGTAAAATGTAAAAACATTGGAATCTATATTGAGATCCCACTGCGTCGTGAAAATTAAAAGCCGCAAATTATTCCAAAACTTCAACTTTGACCTAAATCGCGAAATATGGAGCTCGCAAAAAAAAAAGTTGTTTACAGTATTTAATAATTTAATAATAATCTTGTTTTTCTTTGTTTGTTGTATATTTCATAACTTGTTACTGTTTTACTATTTTTGTTTTCATTTATGTTCTCTCTCCCTCTGTAATACCTTCTGGCCCTGAGGGTACTTTCAATAAGTAAATAAATGAAGGTCGTTCATGCACTTGCGACTGCTTATCTTAATGCCTCTTGGGATCTCGTATGACGAGAGAACAGACTGGCACTGTTTGTCGGATAGGCGTGGTATAGAGCCACTAAATAAGCTACACTTCAAAGTAACGACACTTACCCATCTTAGGGCTTAAAATCATGGTTGCCAGTTATCTGAAGCTTCATCTGAAATCACAGGAAATGCTTTTTCATTTTCCACAAATGTTTAAACAGTTTGCGACAGAGCAAAGCCATATTACATGAGCTTCCTAACACTGAGTGTAATGATGAGGAAGTTTCACTTTTGAATCATGATGATCGGCAGTTTGTCTGCTCTGCACAAGCACCAAGGTGGCAGCGTAGCTCATTTAGTTGCTCTAGTGGGGAACGCTAGCATTTCCGTATATTTCCTTTCTTTTCTTTTACATAATTTTTTGGGGTTTTAAAAGCTTTTGACGATTGTGTAAACAAATATTTTTATAGATAGTACACAGGGGCGGATTTTGGCGGGAGAGGGGCCCCTCCCCCCCCTCTCCCGCCAAAGCCCTTCGAGGTCAACTTTTTTTTTAATGAAGAGATTGACTTACCAGCCAAAAGTTTAGTTTCTGGTGATATGGCAAATATTACAAAATAGATCTGGGCAACGTGTCGTTAGCCGCAACGTCGTATCTCAACAGACTCACACCTCTGTCGGCCGAATAAACACCCTCCCCCCCAAAAGTCTGAACCATAAGTCTGCCCCTGATAGTAAGTGTGTTTGATCTCACAAATACCACAAAACCTTCTCTCTAGCGAAGTGCAGTTCCAGGGTCACCTCATAGATGGCACCAGCATGCCAGCACATTCACTCTTTGTAAGAGGTCGCAAGAACTCGGTCGTAAGCAGGCGCAAGCGTCTGAACGGTTGGTCCTTTGTATGGTCGCATTCCTGACCCAAAGCTTTCTCCCTTTGTTTCCGTTTATCCCCAAGATGACCAGGGGACGAGCGCGGTCCAGACTGAGCGGGAGATCTTCCTGTTTGGGCCCAAGGACCTGAGGGCCCCATTGCCCGGAAATGTGGGCGTGGTTCCCCTCGACTTCGGAGCAAAGCCTGCCGCGCCCGTCGCCCCCAAGACCTGCGACGTGCTGTCCAGGGAGACGAGCAGGGAACGCCACCACAACATCCTTGCCCAGTTCTTGAGCCCGCCCGAAGAGGTGCCCCCCTTGGTCACAGTTGTTCCCTCGCCCGTACCTGTAATTCTTGCAAAGCGTTGAACGTAGGAAGCCAGAGTCAGGCTCTGGAGACTGTTGGAGGAGACGGAAGTTGAGTAGTCTCGGTTCGGAAACAAAGAAAAAATATGTGTATGCTCCTGCCAAACTCTTGCGGATGGGAAATCCATCTCCATTGAGTTTGGGGACTGAATGAGACACCAATGGGAGCATTTCTTGCTAAATTTAACAGAAAATGTAGCATCTCTTTGTGTCGTCACGTTTGTTTTTAGAATCGCTCTAGCCAAAAAACGGATCCTCCGTTAAAAAATTTTTGTACACTCTCTCTGCTAAGTGGCACGATGGCATATTGTTTGCTGAGCATGAGGCTTGCCGACGTCGAGGAAGCAATCTCTTACAACTGGGAGGTGATTTTCTTGTACAGTAAGACCTTGTTAATTCGGATCTCGTGGGACTGACAAAAATGTGTGAATTATCCGAAAGTCGAAATATCGAAAGGACACAGAAAACTGTGCCAAAACGTTTCCCTGAGACATACCTTTATTTTGAGAAGAAATCTGATATTGCCGCCTGCTTTCTGTACGACATGTGGGCGGAGACGACAGATCTCCTTGGCGCGGTCAGGTGCTCCACCGCACTCGCACTGTCAGAGCTGCGCATCCCATGCGCTGACAATCCCCTGCAGCAAGGCTTCTAATTTTGGGTGCACCACCTCCCTCAGCCACTTTCTTTTCGTGTTGTACTTCTCGCTCTCGAAACCCTGTAGGATCTTGGCCTCAATTTTCACGTACGTGACCAAAGTGCTTCTCTTGACGTCGTACCTTTACATCACTTGTTGTCAAGAAATGCCGTCCTTCAAGGCCCTCAGTATTTCCACTTTCGTTGCTAGATTCTTGGTCTGGTACAGCTTCAACAGAAAAAGAGTAGCACAAGTGACCGATGACCGGAGCGTCAAAATTGCGACAAGCGGCGCAATTGTTCCAGAGCGCGCCGATAGCAGAGTGACATGCAGAGTGACAGTCACGTTGCATGTTTGAACGCGGGAGTGGCCGGCAGAAGTTTGAGGGATAAGATAGATGTTAAAATGGGGGGTTGGGGCGGCGGGGGCGGCTTTAGGATGGGCTGCTTTTTGCCGGCCACCCCTGCATTGAGGCATGGACCGTGACTGTCACTCTCGCTATCGGCGCGCTCGGGAACAATAGCGCTGCATGTTGCGATTTTGCCCCTCCGGTCGTTGGTCACTTGTGCTACTCTTACTGTTGCAAATCACGCGTGCACGTCGGATGAATAGCGGTCATACCCTTTTGAACGAACGGTAGCTTGCGCCACCTGCCGAATTCATCCGAATTAACCGTAGTGCACCACACTCCCTCCAAATTAATGAGCGTTTGGTGCCATTGACTAATACGCATGTTTGACGGGAGCGGATCGGCAGTTCAAATTATCCGAATTTCCGAATTAGCGAGGCTTGAATTAACGAGGTTTTACTGTAATAGAGGTTGGCATCCGCTAGGGACAGATTTATGTGCTCTTTATGTGGCCGGGACAATTATTAAACTATGGAGCGAAGGACAGGTGTTTGTTTGCATGGGATCTTGCACTTGCTCAGTACCTACTTTTTTGCATGGGGTTTGATCTCACAGACCATTTTCACGCATTCTCGCACCAACGAAACTATAAATGAAGCCATGCGCTCGCACCAGTAATTTTGACAGCGTTGTGTAAAAAGTATGAAGCGGAGTATAATTATTTGCAACACCTGGGAGACCCACATTAACTGAAGAGTGTGTTGGTAACATCGACTGGCAGCAGAAAGAATAAAACAAACTCTGGACTAGGGACGACAAACATTTCTTTCGACTGGAAACAACATGCTGTTGTTGCCAGTTGAAAGAAATGTTTGTTGTCTCTTGTTCAGAGTTATTCTTTCTGTTGCCAGTCTGGGAGACTCGAGTGCTAGCCCTTTTGATTTTATTAATGTTGCATTTTATTTCATTTTCTTTAGGGTTCCGTGTTTTCAGATAAATTTGAAAAACTCAGAAAAACACCTTCCAGTAAAATTTTGGTCAATTTGGATTTATCCGATAAACTCAGAATTTTTATGTGCCAATGCCCTTCCGTAAGTTTGATCAGCGCACAGGGTCAATGGTCCCGAGAAAATGCCACCGCAGCTATCTTTTAAATCTTAGATCATTGGCAAATGGGGTCTTACTGCTTATCTCATCAAGGTTCAGGACGACATGTCATTGTGCTTTTGGGTGACGACAAAAGCCTCTGTATTGGTTTCCAGTTTGGGCCATACTATTTGTGTTTTAGAGGAGGGAAAGGTTGTGTTTTTGTAACAGTGAAAGCTATGGACCATAGACAATGCATAAAATTTGAAGAGGGGCAGTTGAAACTTCCCTATTACATCCTTTACCACCCCACCTCGCGCGGCCTCGGGGTGGCATGAAATAGTGTGGGATGAATATGTGCTTCCCAGCGACTATCTTTAGGAGTTTATTTTTAAGGCATCGACGTTTATGGAAGCCACAGATGTGTGCAACTTTTGCCGTGGGACAAATTAGTATTGCCAATGGCAATGGCACCAACACCAAATCCAGCTGAAGAAATATTAATCGACAGAAGCGCTTTTTATTTTTCTTTATCTAGCATATGTTTACACCCGGATATTATTTATTTATTTAGTTTTCATAGGAAACACTGCGAAATTAAGCTTTGAATTTCGGAGATTTTGGAATCAAACAGAAACAAACTCCTATAAACTCTGAATTTTCAGAAAAAAATAAACTCTAAGAAACACCTTCCGAATTTGACGAAAAAGAAACTCCGAAAACAGGGAATCCTAATTATATTGCATTCGTTCATTGCCGCACTCTTTAAAGGGAGCAAAAGCAACGATGGCACAGTGTGTCCATCTTAGCTTTTCTGCCATAAGCAACAGCAACCATAACTATCAGTCCGCACTCGTAGCCTTTGCTGCCATCCCTATTTGGGTACGACTAAACAGTGCAGTTCGACTCGACAGCTAGCACCATGTTTTTGCACGCCATTTTCGCAACATTAAAATATGCTGCGGCTGCAGTCGTTGAAATCAATCTTCGAACGTCGGAGTGCCCTGCTGAACTGTGAAGCAGTGCTCGTGTCCAATCGTTCGGTGGCACGTGCTACCCAAAGTTGCGTTCTTTGGTCACTTGAGGCCCTTGACTCGTGAAACACAAAGTTGGGGCCGAAGTTGAATTGATGCGCTCTGCAAAACGTTTGGCTCCAACCTTGTGTTTGACGAGCCTAGGGTCCCAGCCCTGCTGACTGGCAGCCGACCGAGTTGCCTCCTGTTCACTTCCCTGATGCTATGGCTTGTGCAGCACGCTCTCAGCATTTCAGCTCTCAGCACACTCTCAGCATTTGAATATTACTCCTTCGTGCAGCTCTTGAACGAGGCATTCAACGGGGTGCCGGGTCCACCTAATGTGTTGGAATGCACGGCACAGGACTGCCCTGACCTGATGAAGAAAGGTAAAATTGGGCAGATTCCGAGCATCACGAGTTGCACATTTGTTTCAGCTTGCTTGTTTTTTTACGCATTTCATAAAAGAAAACTTTGCTGCTCTTAAGGCATTTGCATTTGAATCTGACAGACTGCATTGCAAGCCCCTGTGACGGCTTACAACGAGGGAACACACTACCGACATCTGTGACATAGCTTTGGAACGCTTCAGATCTGCCCATCACAAGACTGAAGGTCTTGCAGTATTTTGCAAGTTGAAATCTATGCACTTTCTATGAGAAATCGTCACTTACAGTGCAATCTACTTACAACGATATTGACAAAACCTGAAATTTCAATCGTTATAACCAATCATTGTTGTATCTGGACTAGAAACCGAGCGGTTCTAGTAGTCTAAAAACTCTAGAAACTGATAGTTATAAGCAAAACAATCGTTATAACTGTTATTGGTGTAGGTGGATTGCACTGTATAACATTGTCAGAATTATTTTGAGTGCATGGTGAAAGAAGAATGCTTAATGTGCGGATCGGAAGTGTTTTGGGGCTTCCTAATAAATGGTGCTGTCGTGTCCTCTCATAAGCAGTTAAAAGTGGGTGCAGTGCAGTCAGTCACACTCAAATGCAAATGTGTATGTCGGCCTTTCCTTTAAAATTGGTTCAATGGCCCTTCTCCAGGTCCTAATTGTAGTGTTGGCTTCAATTGAAGTCCTGCATAACAAGGCATTTCTCTGAGGCTCGATTTTACATTTGCCGAACAGAATCAAACTTTGGTGGAACATATTTTGTGCGTTAATGCAGGATTCTTCTTTTTTTTTTTTTTTTTACTTCGGCACATTTTTGTAGTTATGGTTGTTTTTCCTTGCTGCATCGCCAATAGACCTTTTTGCTAACTTACCCAATCACCAAGGAGCATGCTACGGGTGTAGTTACGTGCGCTGCATGTGCTGGCATCTGCAGCACTCAGTATCTTTTCTAAAGCAAGGGCCTAAAACAAATGGCATCTTGCACACGTTTACCATTTTGTTCAAACACCTGAGACTGGGTGAGAAAATCTTGAAACAACCAAAAGTAGGAGAGACAAGGAAAGAAGTCAGACAATGTTTCAAACTCAGCTAATATGTGCGTTCAGTAAACCTCCTATATGCACTTTCAAACCAAGGTCATCGCCAACCAACACAACAATGTTTGCTGTGTTGGTTGGTGACGACCTTGGTTTCAAAGTGTATGGCTCTGTTCGGATAAGATTATGCACGCGAGTCCGGACATATTTTTTGTTTTAGTAAACTTTCTTTCATATGTTACTCCTCAACATGTGTAGGGACCGTAATCAAAAAAGATTTTGCAAAAAACATAATATTTAAAGAGAAAAAAAGTTTTGAGTGCACTGGAGCGGCATATTCAATTTTTAAATTTTTCGCTTATGTCATGTTTGGCGACACCTACTATGCAAACTTCAAAATAAGAAATGAATAGTTTTCTCTTTTAATAGATCATGAGAACTATTGAGTGATATATGTGGAGCATTGTGGAGGTTACACGTTTCACACCAAAAATGCGTAAACAGAACTCCTTTGACGTTTTGTCACTAGGTTTCTGAACCCTTATTTACAGAAATTGAATTGCTACAACATTAAAATTTGTCATATATTCTTATTAAAACATTCTTTCAAATGATATGTAAATCATTGCTTTATCTCAAAGGTTGAAATTTTCATTTTGCTCCAAACTTGTTCTGAATTACCAAATTAAAAAACCTCAAAAGGCAACTAAAAAAAAAAAAATCTTAGATCTTTTTTTGAATATTATAGCGATATTTCTCCACCATACTTTCGTGTTCCTTTATAAAAAACATGTTCCATCATTATATTTCCTTCAAGGTTACAGCGCTGCGAAGTGTACCTTCCATGCTGGCCTTTTTGCCCAATGCCACAGACGAGATTATCTTTTGATTCTGTGTATTTTATGACTAGATATATTTTTTGTACTGTATTCGAGTATTGGGCTCAGGTTCAAGTATTCTACTAATCAAAAAGACACTGACACCCCCCGAAATTTTTTTTATTTTATTTTTTGCCGGGCAATTTATTATGGTGTCAGAAGTCTACCCAATTAATATTTTGCTACTGCGTCACACATATTTGTAATAAAGTAAAAAAAACTCAACTGCTCGAAACCGAAACTGGACTGGGGAGGGAGAAGAAATAAAGAAGAGGAGAGAGGTGGCAGAGGTCACGTGGCTGTGATACTTTTTTTCCTCAATCAACGTATCTGCAGCATTTTAGAAGCCACAAAAAATGGGTATCATATTTCTTTTCCATTTTTCATGTTGTGTGTGTTCTTCAATGAACTAGGACTTTGATTTTATTTGGTGGTTGTGTCTAAACCATAGAAAACGGCACGTGGCCACGAAGAAGAGAGTGAGTGCGACTCAAATCGGCTAGTTTTTGATCGGCAGTTTTCGGGAGGAAAGAAAACAAATTTCGAGCCACGAATTGTTTTCTGGGTAGTTGGGCTCTTATATGTAATGTACAAATAAAAACCTTGGCCACCATTAATATTCTGTCAGTGTCCCTTTAAAACAATACCCGCATTGCTTGTCCTTCGTATTTATTTAACCAGCAAGCCTGTGTTGCCCTTTAAAGTTACAAGTTCTAGGAGCTTTAGCCAAAGCTTTTCCACTTGCAATCGCTACTACTACCATTTTTTTTGCGGAAAGTAGTAGAAAAAGTAAGAACAGTGGTGCAAATTATATGCAGATATTTACATTTATACTCCGTGTCACTAGTTGTGTGCAGTGCAGGCAAAGGCAACGCCAGGTGAACAGAGAAAGGGCGGGCATTAGGAAGAGAAGCGGGAGAGGAGAGCAATGAAGGGCAAGGGGAGAAAGGGAGAGCACTAGGAACGTTAGAGAGGAGAGTATGTTTCTCCCCTCCTCCATAGCCTTCCTAGTACTTGCTCTCTCCCCCTTTGCCTCGCCTTGCCTTTGCCTGTACTGCATGCAACTTGTGACACAAAGTTTGTATTCGCGATGAAGTAGGAATGTTTGAACCACCATGCTTGTTAAACTGCAATTCATGAGGGTTGTGGGTCCGGCTGACCAAGGTAAACCTGTGACTTCAATGGCAGACTTTCACTATGACGTCCGCTAAGATTAAAAAAAAGAATATTTGTGATTATTTATTCGAATAAAATAAAGAGTATTAAATTGAAGAAAGCAAAAATAATAACAGTGAGTAAAGATATTTAGTGCACTAGTTGCCTGCATGGGCAGGAGGGTGCATTGAGAAGTCCTTTTTTGCCCCTCTTTAAAGTGACACTGACAGGGTATTTATGATCGCCAAGGTTTTTAGTTGTACATGACATATGAGAGCCCAACTATTCAGAAAACAATTCATGGCTTGAAATTTGTTTTCTTTCTGCCCAAAAACCCCGGATCAAGAACTGGCCGGTTTGAGTAACGCTCACTCCCTTCTCCGTGGTCACGTGCCGTTTTCTATGGTTTAGACCAGTGGTTCTCAAATGGGGTTCCGCGGACCCTTTGGGGTCTGCGAAGGCATTGTAGGGGTCCGCAAGGCCCTGCCTCATCAGTCAAGCCCAGCAACAAAAGTTGCCTTTTTTCAGATTGAGAAGAAACATTCCAATTTTCGGGCAAGGTCTCTCGTGTGTATGTCAGTGAGAGAAGTCTACTTCACTCTAGCCCTTAGGTATATCCAAATATTAAATCATTATCATAGTTAACCTATACCTTTTCCTTCCTCCCGTCACGAACCGGGTCCTCCATCATCTGCGCCGATCCACAAGGGGTCCGCGAAACATCAATGGTTGAGAACCACTGGTTTAGACATAGCCACCAATCATAATAAAATTCGTGGATCATCGAAGGTACACACACCATATTAAAAATAGAAATGTAATACCCATTTTTTGTGCCTTCTAAAAAGCTGCAAATATGGTGATTGAAGAAGAAAAAATTGCACAGCCACGTGACTTCTGCCAACTCTCCTCCTTTACATTTCTTCTTCCTCCCCAGTCCAGTTTCGGTTTAGGTTCCGAGCAGTTGCGTTTTTTTACTTTATTAAAAATATATGTGACACTCTAGTAAAATATTGATTGGATAGTCTTTTGGCACCATAAGAATCGCCTGCAAGACAAGTGAACCAAAAATTTTGCGGGTTGTCTGTGTCCCTTTAAACCAGACTGACAAATTCCTCTAAGCACTCACATGTATTGCAATAGTTCCAACGAGTGTGAGGAAATCGGTCAACTCTGAGTGTGGCAAATAGGCAATTTACAAACCGCTTGGCGCTGTCTGACGGCCGCAGCTTTCTAGGGGGAGAATTCAAAAGCTTTTGTGGAGTAGGTCCAACTCCGACTCTCTGACCATCTTAGTTCAGGTATGTGGCAGCGAGCTCTTCTTGAAACAGCAGAAAAAATTAGGCTTGAATTTATCCCGGCAAAATGTCGATAATTACATTGTCGTTGTATTTAAAGGAGGGCATTCTACCAATGTGATGGAAGCTGTTTTCTCACCTTCCATCGTTCGACGTGACAGATCAAAGAGCAAAGCAAAGCCACTAAGCCTAAAGACTCACGCAACCACCCATGGAACCAGGTTTTGAGTCACAAGGTTTAAAAGGCATCCGTTGTAATCCTGTCTCCACAAGCACGCAGTTTACACGTGGACATGCTACCGCTTTGACTCGCTGGCGGCACCGCTGCTAAGGGACACTTTCGTCACTGTACTGTCGTCTCCAGGAGCCAATGCCGGCTTCAAAATCGAAATGCCACGAGCCCTAAAAGCGACGCGCGCAATACTAGCGGCACTGACCTAATCAGCGCCAAATCAGAAAGGCGGAGGCTCAGACAGAAAGCGAACCCCACAAGCCGGTGTTGGGGGCCACCGCCGGCTCGTGAACCTAAAGAGGGGCTTTACAGGAATCAGATACAGCATGGACCGCAGAGCACAGGCATTTATCGCCTGTTCTCTCCTAATGCACTTTTCTTTTCAGAGGAACTGATCGCCACGTGCTTAGACTTACTCTGTACGTTGCTTCATACAAAAGCTATTAACTCATTATCTTTCCTTCTTTCTCTCTAATGTCATGTCTTTGGGAGTTAGTTCAGCCTCGTGATCGTGAGACAAGACAACACGTGCACTGCGGTCATAAACAAACAAAGTCGTTACCAGTTCCGTGTAGTTGCCTCTGGACAGAACGTAACCTGCCATGGCAATGACTTACAGCATTGTCCGTAGAGTGTTTTGTGCTATCTTAGTAAACACAAAAAGAAGATAGCGAAGCAGAGAAATTTTTGCAGTGTGTAAGATCTGGATGGCGATTCTATGAAAAGGATCGGGCAACATCCTCCAGTTCGTGCATTCCTTATTTGTAGCCACATTCAAAGTTGACCGGTTTTCTCGCACTCGTTGGAATGATTGCAGCACAGGTGAGTGCTTCGCGGAATTCAGCAGTCAGATTTGAAGAGAGCCAAAAGACGGACTTCTCAAGGCGCCTTCCTGCCAACGCAGGCAACTATAGTGCGCTTGTTATCTTTACTAGTTGCTTTTAATTTACTTTCTTAGTTTCGTGTTTTTTTTTAAATTTTATTAGAATAAAAAATTACAAATATTTTTAATCTTAATAAAATTGTGAAGTCACAGGTTTACCTTGGTCAGCCAGACATACATTGGTCATGAATAGCAGTGTAACAAGCTTGGTGGCTCCAGCACTCTCACTTTATTGCATATAGGTATGAATAATATAGGTATAATAATAATAGAGGTATAAATATTTTCATATAATTTGCACCACTGTACTCACTTTTTTACAACTTTCTGTAAAAGAATGTACTAGCGATTACAAGTTTTCGTCCCACTTTCATGGAAAAAGTCCAGCTAAAGCTCATTAAACTGGTCATTTTAAAGGGCAAAACAAGCTTATTGGTTAATTTAATAAAAAGGATGAGCAACGTGGATATTGTTCTAATTTGTAGAACATTTGAACTTGAGCCCAAATTCAAATGCAGCCCAAAAATATATCTAGTCATAAAATACATGGTCATAAAATACATGGAATCAAAAGATAATCTCATCTTTGGCATTGGGCAAAAACGCTGCCGTGGAAGGTACACCTGTGAGCGATATGAAGGTGAACAGCCCTCTTCTTGTTTTTGACGCTTCTGCAAGTTTTGGAAAAAGCTCTGTTCCAGAAGAGGGCTAGAATGCAAAGTTTAGACCCTTGGCCACGTACTGTTTGAAACGTTGAGAGTCAATATGGCTTTAGGGAGCCGTAAAACAGGCAAGAGACCAGGTAAGGTGGTCACCTTCATATTGCCGGCGGGTGTACTTTGAAGGAAACCAAACGATGCAACATGTTTTTAATGAATAAACACAAGAGTATGCTGGGGAACTGCCACTATAAATTTCAGAAAAGTTGAAGATGTTTTTTTTAATTGCCCCTTGAAATTTCTTACTTTTTTGTAATTTAAATCAAGTTTGGAGTGATATAAAAATTTAAATTTTTGAAATAAAGCAACGATTTTTATATTTCTCGAAAGAAAATTTAGTAAGAATATTTTACATAAATGTTAATGTCGTAGCTATGCAATTTTTGTTGATAGCGGCTCAGAAATCTAGTGAAAAAAACGTGAAATATGTGACCTCTACAATGCTGTAGTTATTTCACTCAATAGTTCCCATGATCCATCATAAGTGAAAAATATTTTAGATTTCCGATAGTATTCGCAGTTTGCGTAGTAGGTGTCGCCAAACATGATGTAAACGAAAACTTAAAAAATCAAATACGCCGCTCTGGCGCTCTCAAAATATTTTTTCTCCTCAAATATTATGTTTTTTGCAAAATCTTTTTTGATTACATTTCCTACACATGTTGAGGAGTGACATACCGTATTTACTCGAGTAATAGCCACACTGTTTATGAAAAAAACCTGAGGGTTCGCATTTCCGCGGAGCACGCGGATGGCCAGTCATTGCGATCGACAGCATGACTCCAGCGGTTTACAGGACAGAGATAACGTCTTTGCGTGAAGATACCATCTGTGAAGATTGCATTTGTATGGAGAATCGTGTTTTCGATCTGGTTATTCGCTATGTTATTTAGGCAAGTGCAATGCGATGATTGGCTGTATATGTGCTTTGCGTTAAAGTAGAAGCAAGGGCCTTGTTCATAAATAGTGCGGCGATTACTCGAGTAAATACGGTATAAAACATAATTAACAAAAACAAAAAAATAGGTTTGGACTCGTGTGCGTGATCTTATCTGAACAGAGCCCATAGGAGGTTTACTGAATAAATCTATTAGCTTGTTTTGAGACATCGTTGGACTGACTTCTTTCCCTGTCTCTTCTACTTTTGATTGTTTCAAGATTTTCTTACCCAGTCTCAGGTGTTTTAACAAAATTGTAAACTGACTCCAGCTCACCTTCACCCTCACTGTTTTTGCATGCATGTTCGTCAATGCCCTATTTTGGTTATTTACTTTGAATCTTTTATACGGGGAAGGCAAGCACGTGCTGCACATTGACTTACATTCCCATCATTCTCTTTAATGCTTGGGAAATTTAGCAATAGGTCCATTCTTATTTTGAGGGTCACATCAACCATTGTTTCGTGATTTTACGCAGTTGCTTCATTGCTCCTGTGTCGAGATATTTTTTGTTTACAGCGGGCACATTCTTTATCTAGTTTTGCTTCCACTGTGGTAGTATTTCTTTACCCACGCTTCGCGTTGCACGCGGGTTCACATCACGCTTCACAGTTTCCTGGAGAGCGGTAATTGTGAAAGCAGTTGACATCAGAAGGTGGGACCGACATTTTTCTCTCAGATGTGCGCAACCCTGTTGCGTTCATGTTCCAGATTTCCAGGACCTGTTCCCTGGCCGAGACATTCGTAACGATTCGCTCACTGTCATCACCCTGACCCACAAGACTGAGAATGACATGACGTACTGGAGCGAAGACGTCGATATCGAGAGAGAAGAGCTCACGGGACAGGTAGGCCAGACTCCTCCCAACGCAGAATGCATTATACAGCTCGCTTCTAACAACTCCCCTTAACACACTTCTGTGACGGAAGAGCGTCGCACGAGTACCGCGTCGGCCTTCAGCTGGAAATTGTGTCCTCGCCAATTGAACACGAATCCCAGCGTGTCCGAACATGACGCATGCGTGACACGTTATGTCACTTATTGGAGGCCGCATGACCCAGGTTTTGGGTGGGCATGCTTGCATCAATGGTGGGGCCCAAGCATGGGCTTCGAGGTAAATGTGGACACACGAAATAGCAGGGTCAATGTGGCCACGTGAGGTCATGACACACTCGGTCACAGTCAAATGCCTTGCACAGTCAAATGAACAAGCAAAATTTTAGCTCCCATTTATTTGTGTAGACTTGGTCTCCTTTATGACAGCAGCTCACATTTAATTGCATTATAGTCATACCAGTCGTTCGTCCATAAATGCAAGAAAAACAATTTTAATACGAATAAAATGATTTCCCAATGCCACCTGGTAGTTGGGGGGCCGAGCTTTGTTGGAATGTCCGACGTCGCGGGCCCATCAGTAGCAGCGCCACGGTGCAGCGGGTCCGATGGAGGTGCCTGAACCCGAGCAGCGCTTGGTACACCTATCAAATCTAGTACACCATATCTCGGGTATTCCCATGGGTTGACGATAAAACTGCCGCCACCTGGTGACGACGATTGCAATTACGGTAGCCTTGGCCGTGTATGGGCCCGTGACGTTGCAATCGTGACCACACGAGCAAATATCCCTAGACGCATTGTGCTGACTTGATGGCTGATTTTGAAGCGCTCGCCAGAATCCGGACATCGCCGGATTCTGGCGATGTCCGGATTCACCAGGTGCCAAAGTTTCAGCCTGATCCGATAACTTAATCAAAAGTTATAAGTGATTTTCTGAACATTTCAATGGGGAAATGGCGGCCGACGGAGTTTTCAAACACATGGGGCTCTATGGCACCAGAAACCGAAAACGGGCAAAAAGGGGCTCCATTTTCCCATTGAAATTTTCAGAAGATCACTTACAGCTTTTGATTAAGTAATCGGGCTGAAACTTTGGCACCTGGTTGTGACCTCTAGCTCTACCTTTGGGCGGAGAATGAGCGTTCGGCGATGCCTAGTTTATTTTTGCGGTAAAAAAGACCGTGTAAATTTTCTTTTGTGACACCCTGTAGGTAGCTATCTGCTGAAAATACAAGCGTGTGATTATCATTTATGGATATCATCGATCATATTTCACTGGTTTCGAAGTCTTTCGGGGATATTTAGATTACAGCCACATTGACTGTACTTTTACTAATGGTCCACGAAAATCTTATTAGGATTAGTTCCTTCTATGTCCAATTGATAAGGTAGGCTTTCTATTTATGTGCTCAGAATGCAAGCTCAGGCTTTCTGAGAATAGGCATTTGATAATTATCTGAACCATTAGTATGTGATTTGTGTTAACGGTCAAATTCTTCGGGTACGATGACAAGTGCATCAACTTGCTAGCACTACACCGCACTGTAATCCTTGGCGGGTTAACGCTGGAAAGGAATGACTACAGCTTGAACTTGGCTGTAGCTGTTACCTTTTGATTTACCGTATAAAGAGTGACACTTGAAGTATCTTCCAAGCTTCTACCAGCCATGAAGACTCGCCTACAATGCTAGCCCAATGGCTACTACCTGGGGTTTAAAACATTGTGCAGCGGCATGCTTATACAGAATGTGAGCACTTTTGTGACTATTGCAAGGGAATGGGTGGTTCTAATTGAGTGTGAACTGTTCCTTTACCTCCAGTTTGTTTTCAAGGCTCAAAAAATATGCAAAGCCCTCCAAGAAGCAGGATACTGGGCAGATTTTATCGATCCTTGCTCCGGGCGTCCGGTAAGGATTTTTCACCTTTTTACCATATTATTTAATATGGGAGAACTCAAGGGGTAGCTCTAGTTTTTTTTAAAAAGTCGTTAGATATTCACTGGGTACAGTTTTATTATGTTTCTACTGAGTAGTGTGTGACTGGTTCATCGGCTTCAATTATCTGCTTAACATCAATGAATGGATATCGCTTGCTTCATTTTGTCTTGAATATATGCGTTACTGGTCGTTGAACCTGAAACATATGAAGTGTAAGCTTTCCTTCAGTGCGCATAGACAGTAAAAGATGAAAAGATATTGTTTATAGTATGGCGATGTGCTATTAGAGCTGATAGAAGCATGGGCCCTTTTGGAAGTGCCTTGTCTTCGCTTGTTTTGTTATCGAATGTATGCAGAGTGCAGGTTCATCGGTTTCTTTTGCAGGAATTGCGGTGACATCAGAACGTCGAGCTCCGATTGGTTCTTATTGAAGGATAGCGGGTAGACTTCAAGCAATCTGCCGCGAGGTCTACCCACTATCCTTCAATCAGAGCTCGGCATTCTGATGTTACCCCAACCCCTGCAAAAAAATCAGGCATACTTGCACTCCGCATAGGCATGTATTGACGACCAGGATAACGGGGTCTCCGGAGAACCGCGGACACAGATGATATGCTAGAATGTCCAGTTACAATCCAAATAGCATTATTGGCTAGTTTACTCGGATATTTTCTTGGGCAGTAAATTGCCTCCTTATAGTTTGTGCCACATCTCCCGACATTCACCCCTGGTTACAGGTTTATCTTAGTTTTCAAGCTCAGCCAGTTGATGCTATGCATTACAAGCTCTAATATAAACGACAGCATTTCACATTCCCACTAGTTGTGCCTTGCATTCACAATACACCGTCTGGTAGTGTTGTGCTTTTAACGGATGCCAGTACTGTGATTGTGCATGGGTACCTTGTGAATGCTGGAACCCAAGCACTGAATCAAAGAGTGAACTTAACAGGGGTTTTAAAACATTGGAACATTTGAAACATTTAGTAGCTGTTGTTTCCACAAGGTTACTTTGGATCTTGATTGCTTTTGCCATTTTTTGTGTCTTTCCAGTCTCTGGGTCCTTACACCAATTCAACTCTCCTCGAGACGGATGAACGCTACAGACACTTTGGATTCACCATAGAAGATTTGGGATGTTGCAAAGTGATAACACACCACCTATGGGGTTGTAATGCCTTTGTGGGATGCCTTTTTACAAATGCTCCTTCTGATAGCTTTGAGGTCAAGAAGGTTCTGTGTGAGAACAATGAGTAAACACTGCTTTTAAAATAGACTGAGGAGGATTCTTATAAATATTTGTACAGCGGAGTGAAAACTTTGGGAATGTTTGAAAAATTATCTCGGAATAAAGGTGTTTTCCCCTTGTGAATTGTTGCTGCTGACATGGCGTACCAACTTGTTTTTGAGTGGAGGGGCAAACCAGAACCCCCCCCCCCCCCCCCCCATGGCCGGGGCGGTCCCTTGGTATGCCTGTGGCATTGCCGGCTAGTGTTTGCCGTGCCAAGTGGCGGCTTTTTCAGGGGTGCAACGCATGCCTTGCCCCCCCACTCTAAGAACTGGGAAGGGGGGGGGGGGGGGGGGGGGCAAGCGCCCCCCTTGCCCCTTCGGTTGGTACGCCCCTGGCTGCTTTTGTGTATGTATGACAAGGCAAGTATCAGACAGCAAAATTGACGGCTGGACTAGTTCGGTAAACTCAACAAAGACAAATAGTGCTACGAACAAGGACTAGTAGAAGTGGGCAGAACAACCATGCTTTTTCTCTGGACTTCGGGTAGAAATAACTTGTAGTCATTGATTCTAAGGTAAGGTAACAATCTTAATAGTTCTTGCTTTATTTAATATACAGGGTGTCACAAATGGAAATTTACACGATCTTTTTTACCGCAAAAATAAACTAGAAATCGCCGAACGCTCATTCTCCGCCCAAAGGTAGAGCTAGAGGTCACAACCAGATGCCAAAGTTTCAGCCCGATCCGATCACTTAATCAAAAGTTATGAGTGATTTTCTGAAAATTTCAATGGGAAAATGGAGCCCGTTTTTGCCCATTTTCGGTTTTGGGTGCCATAGAGCCCTATGTGTTTGAAAACTCCGTCGGCCGCCATCTTCCCATTGAAATTTTCAGAAAATAACTTATAACTTTTGATTAAGTTAACGGATCGGGCTGAAACTTTGGCATCTGATTGTGGCCTATAGCTCTACCTTTGGGCGGAGAATGAGCGTTCGGCGATGCCTAGTTTATTTTTGCGGTAAAAAAGACCGCGTAAATTTTCTTGACCACGCTGGATGTATGCGGCATGTAAGGGGGGTGTGGTGCAAATTTTATGGAATATTTGCAATGGTAATAAAGGTATTGAGCCAATATTTGAAAATTGTTTGCAGTTTCGGAATGAAAAGGTCTGTGGAGTGCAATATTTCTAAATATGGAATTTGGTTATAGAGGGAAAGTTATTTGGTATTTTACTAAGGGAGAAAAGCATTTTCTCGGGCTAGGTGGCGCAAGCTACCGCCCGTTACAACATGTATAACCAATATCCATCTATCCATAAATTTGCTTTGTTTGTGTTTGAAGCTTTAAAAATGGCCGTGCATAGGCAACTTGTTTACCGCCACTGTTAACAGCAATGTTTTTTGTTTTTTTTGTTTCTGCTTCGTGTAATACGCTCGCAGTTGGAACAAGAATGTCTGGGTGACGGTATTGCTTCACTTTATTGACTGGAGGTACTGACACGCCTGCTACCAAGTTGTGCTCTGTCCCTTGCAGTTCTCAACCCGTCAATGACAGTTCGCGCACCGATACTGCATCACGACGGGAATTTACCGACCTCCCGTGCTAACGGTTATGTGCAATGACTCGACCTGATCCTCGTACCCTCTGGTGTGCTTCGCAAGCTCGGTTTCCAGGCTGTCCATCGGTTTGTTTGCCAGGAGCCCGTTATGCGGAGAGCCGTAGTTTGGATTCTAGCTCATGTGTTCAGATCGTCCTTCTCTGAGTGTAGTACAGTCGGCGCAACCTGCAGAACGCTGAGTCACTGTGGAACGATGATCGAGAAGCTAGAGAAAGTGGAAGGTGCTGTAGGTAAGGAGAATGACCTAGTCTTGAAGCCGGCCGAAAGCAGTGACGTTGAGGAAGTCGTCGTGTTCTTCGGAGGCGACACGCAGGTTAGTGCATCAATTTTCTTTTCCGTAGTTAATCCGCGTAGTAATATCAATGCGCATTCTCATAAAACTTCAATAAAAGTATGTTTAATCAGTGTTGCTTTATTTGAAATTGTTCGGACAACTCGCTCCGTGGAAGGCGTTTGATCATGCAGAAATAAGGCTGAGTGATATCCAGATAGCCTCTACGTAACTGTGTCTGGCACCTTGGCCCACTATGATTTAGATAGGCAGTCTCAATTGAACGGGCCAACCGATACGAACATTTTCAGAGGTTCAATCTCGCGTTCCGCGTAGGTAAACACAAACAGAATCTTATGTGGCCTCGTCGTACAACCTCGTTTTCCGCAAAATAGAGGACACGCTTCTCCTAAATTGCGAGGATAGGAAATAAGGAACTGATAGACGACGAAGGAGCTCGACATGGTTTTCACGTGTTGCGTTTACTCAAGCAGGAATTGAATCCCTGGGAAGATTTGCTCATGGGGAGCTGACTTGCAGGCGCTTCAGCGTACGAGTTTCATGACCTTCTGCCAGCCGCGCACGCTTCCCGTGTTCCACTCTCTTGTGCAAATAAATATTGATTGAGTGATTGGTTGACTGATTGATTAAATTACAGTGTCTGATCATTGTATGGTTTGGAAGGACCAGGCACATTATCCTGCATCTAGTACAAGCTTGCTGACAAGTTATATATCAACATCAAGTTGGCTTCAAGCTTTGTCAAGTGAAAACTCTTCACACTCATTTAAAAGCATAAAAAAAAGTTTTTGTTTTTTCGTTGGTGATTGCGGTATATTACATTCTTGCAGGATTTCCCCGAAGCAATGCTGAAGCATCGAGACAACAGGCGTTATGTCCAGTGGAACCTAGAGTACATGGCTACCCTCATGGGCAGCCACTTCCCCCAGGGCCACTGCATCGTTGTGCGTCCCAGGCGTCTCCAGTTCCTCACCTTCAGCTGCTATGACAACTTTGTCAACGGCAACGACATGGGAGCACCGACCCATGAGTTCAGCGTCTCTGGTCTCGAACATTTTCACAAGCTCCTGATGAACACTGCTGAGCGGCTAAAATCCAGGACCAGCAAGTCCTGGCATGCCGTGGGCAGTGCAATCCAGGGGAAGCCCTTGGTTCTCATTGGGTTCAGCAAAGGCTGCGTTGTCCTCAACCAGATCCTTTACGCCATCAAAGCGCTCGAACTAAACCCGGACGATGATCTCTGCGCATTCGTTGGGAGGATCAGGCAGATGTACTGGCTGGACGGTGGGCACTCCGGGGGCTCCAACACTTGGGTCACGAAGGAGGTCGTCCTCAAGGCTTTCGCACAGCTGGACATCAAGGTCAACATCCATGTGACTCCTTACCAAGTGCTCTGCAACTCAAGGCCCTGGATTGGGAAGGAGGAAAAAGGGTTCAGGGAAACGCTGAAGAAGCTCGGCATGGATGTCTCCAGAAAACTACACTATGCGGACGAGCAGCCGTCTCTGGACATGCACTTCAAGCTTTTGGAGGAGTTTATGCCTCGTGCTGCGCCCGTGCTCTGAAGAAGGGAACTTTTTTTTTTTTTTTGTCACTCGTTGAGAACTAAAAGCCTTAGCAATATAGAAAAACAAAAACAAAAGCACTTGTATTCATGGTCACAGTAGATGCTGTTTTCTAATTTATCATGGGTCCCTTTTTTGACTGCTAGTGTATAATGCACTGTTTGCCTTTTTTGATTGTATGACCCAGAGTTCTAGGAGTCCCCTTTTTGCGGATACATTCAAAGACTGAATTTGTCTTTCTTCAGAAATACATGTGGCTTGTTGGAATGTCACAGAGCAATCTTTCCTTATTGGCCTCGAGATCGACCTAGAGGTGGCGCTACTGTTGTGCTATCATCATCATCATCAAAGTCGGGTAGAAGCATGGCGGCTTCATAGGTTCTCTACGTTCACGCGCGAGACGGTGTAAATTCTTACGTTTCTTTTGTCGCACAGTATCGATGGGAAAACAATTTTAGCGGAAAATGTTGCGGTTCCGTTCGATGCGTCAGTGAAGATTGAATCATGTTACCAGCGTACGGCCTTATTTTAAAGGGCAACTCCGCTCAATTCCGAAAAATTTAGGCTTCCATGTGATTCACATTCACAAAGCACTACTAAACAACTCTGCGTCTTCGGATTCGCGAAATGTGGAATATTATTTGTGTAATCCTAATTTAAACATCAGCCGAAACCGAAACTTCGGTTGCGTCAGGCAACATTGGTCTCGGGTCGGGTGGCACGTCACGGGTAGCACGTCACGTCGATCCACGTGGTCTTGTCACGTTCGGGAGGGAGCAAAAAACCGAGCGAGGTCTTTTTTTTTTTTTTTTTTTTTTTTTTTCTCTTGGACGCGGGCAGGTTGCTCCCCATGGCGTGGACGGTGATGGCCCGGGGGCGAGGGGGAAGGGGAGAAGACGAAAGAGGAGAAAAGGAGCGGAGAAACAGACCGATAAGCGCGCAGGGCAGCGCATCCCAGGCGCATCCGTGTTACGGTGATCACGTGAACGCCCGGTCAGCCAACACCGGGAGGAGAAACTCATGACGTCATCGTTCAATTTCGCTCTGAGAAGTAAAAACAAACAAAACGTGAGAATGACGTATGCATGCCTCTGACGTAGTGGCTCAACGTGGGCCGCTCCATCTCCGTGGCATTGACTGCGCTGGTGATTGCGCCTCGCGCCGCACGCTAGAGTTGGCAAATTTCGGCGACTTGGCTCGCTTGAAGGTTTGCTGGCCAGTTTATTCAATATATAAACGGAATTAGATCGTAATATTTGACATGGGGTCTTCCTATATAATACTCAAGAGGGCTACATAGTTTTCTAAATATCAAAAATGAAGCGGAGTTGCCCTTTAAATAATTGCTTGTGTGGATGCGTCGTCTGGTCTAGGCAGACAGACGTTGGGAACATACTTGGGTAGTCATTCAATAACAGTAATCGAACTATTGTAATTTCATTACTTTCTTTGTAATTGAGTAATTACTTTCGGCTAGAAGAAATTGTAATTGTGATTTAATTACTTTTTGCATCAGTAATTCCAAAATTTCAGGCACAATTACTTTTGCAAGGCTGCGGCGCTGACGGAACCCGTCTGAAAGCCAGCGCATGCATAAGCGGCCTAGCACTCGGTGAGACACTCTCATTTCCAAGTTCATCTCCTGTTGGTTTTACTTCGGATATTATTTGCATCAGCCTTTGGGACACTGACTTCGCACCTGTGAATATTGTCACCATTGATTCGGGAGCCCCGATTTGGTTCTTATATATTTCTGAACCATTATAATTTCAACTCAATGTAAATAATTTACAGTAACACGAAACGTTTGTATGTGAATGTGTTCCTATTAGCGCATGTGGATTGCAGTTTTATATTAACAGTTAAAATTTTCAGAGATGACTAATTATCACATCTTTATTTACCTGGCTCACAGAAGTGTGTCAACCCAATTTTACTTTACCGAACTGGCGTCTTTCAGTATACACACCAATTTATTATTATTTATTGAAAATAAAAGAACGCAGGACTTCATTCCTCCAGACTATCAAGTTCTGTCATTAATTTAACAATAATCACAGAAGGAGAGTACAATACATGACATTTATACAGCGATGCCTAAGCCTCATACATTGGGGCAAGGAATGAACAAATGCGCATTCTTAACAACACGTTTAAAGTTGTATGGCCTAAATCGAGTAGCTGTGGGTGATAAGTAATTATATTACTTTTTAAAAGTAATTTGTAATTGTAATGAATTACTTTCACCTAACTAGTAGTAATTGTAAGTAAACTACTTTTGAAGCAAATTAATTGCAATTGTAATTAAATTACCTTTTGGAAGTAATTTACCCATGTATGATTGGGAAGCATGGACCAACCACCTACGGATGCTTGTCTCCGGGTGAACTGCACTATTTATGTAATATATTTGTTTGTTTTAATATATATATATATATATATATATATATATATATATATATATATATATATATATATATATATATATATATATATATATATATATATATATATATATATATATATATATGTATATATATATCAGTTCACCAGCGTGGGAATTCAACAAAACAATGAATTCTGACCCGGATAACATAATACGGGTACTGTGGGCTGTGAAATCGCAGATTCTGTGCATTTTTGTTTTTGTACCTTTTAGCTCTTGCTGTAATATAAATTTTCAGTATGAAGAAAAGTTAGCGCTGTATCATATATTACCGCGATATTGAGTTCTTCTGCAGTTAATGTTTCCCTTTACTGTGCCATGGTGTGGGTAAATGTTTCGGAGTCGGAACAATTCTACTACGTTGCAATGAGAGTTCCTTTTCTAGTTACGATCCGGAAATCGTTCGTTGGCAAGACAAGTGAAACAAACAATTCTGATATATCTGCCACAAGCGGAACAAACGGGTGTAACCGAGCAACGCAGTAGCGTGCGTGTTATTAGGGAGTTCTCGTTGATGGTTTTGCCGTCCCGCAACGCTCTCCGCGACCCGCTACGACACCCGAAACTCTACAGCCAAGGCAGGCACGTAGCCAGGATTTTGTTTCCGGGAGAGGGGGGGGGGGGGGGGGGGGGGGGGGGGCGCCCATGACAAAAATGTTGTATGAGGGGAGGGCGAGGGGGGAGAGGAGGTCCCAGCAAAATGGAAGATTTCGGGGGGGGGGGGGGGGGGGGGGGGGCTTGGGCCCCATGGGCCTCCCCCCTGGCTACGTGCCTGAGCCAAAGCTATCGGCGCGCAGCCGCAGCAGCGGCTTCTTCGTTGCGGAGGACTTAGCGTAGGGGGAAACGTGATCTACGAGAACTCCCTATTAAATGCTTTTCTCGGTAGCGTGGGTACACCTGCTTCATTTTTCTCGGTGAGGACCGCGGATGTCAAGAGGCTGATATTATAAATTTCTGGATAAATAATCTATTAAGACATAGTAGACTCTGCAACTCCAACAAACGACTCGCACCACGACATCGACGGCATCGGCCGCAGCGACACTCTTACTGATGAGGGCTAGCGACTCTCACGAGACTTTTCGATCACCTTCCGCCCTCACCTAACGCATATCGGGACTGGGCAGTTAATCGATTAACCTTCAGATTATTCCAGTGATGCTTTAATTGCGATATCTATTACAGGGTGTTTCACGAAAGGTGGGCAAATTCGATATTTCGAAAACTACGCATCGCAACAAAAAAATTATGAAAGTTCAAGATAATTAAGTTTTTAATTATTTTCGCGTAATTAACTTTTTAATTACGTATTTAAGGGCATAGTTTCAATTAGAAAATTGCTCAGCATCATCGAAAAACACAAAATCAACAAATTGCAGAAGCATAGAAGGCACGCGAAGCATTTTACGGCTTTCTGAAAAACCGCACAAATTCGACGAGTTTTTAAGTTTCGGTTTGCTATCGGAGCGTATCTCGGCCCCGGTGGCACCGCGCCCCGTGGAGAGATAGTGCAACCAACCTATTCTGCGTCGCGCGATGACAGCACAGCAGAGGTTGGTTGCACTATCTCTCCGCGCGGCGCGGTGCCGCCGGGCCGAGATGGGCTCCGATAGCAAACCGAAACTTAAAAATCCGTCCAATTTGTGCGGTTTTTTCCAACGAGGTTGGGTTTTTCAGAAAGCCGTAAAATGCTTCGCGCGCCTTCTATCCTTCTGCGATTCGTTAATTTAGTGTTTTTTGATGATGCTGAGCAATTTTCTAATCGAAACCATGCCCTTATAAACACAATATTAAAAAGTTAATTACGCGAAAATAATTAACAACTTAATTATCTTGAACTTTTATAATTTTCCTAAATAGGCCTCGGGCCCAGGACCAAAACGACACAGGCCTTTTTTTGTTGCGACGCGTAGTTTTCGAAATTATCGAATTTGTCCACCTTTCGTGAAACACCCTGTATATATATGTACAAATTTTTTTTTTTTTTTTTTCTTAAAGGGGGAGGGCAACGATTTTCGGACTTAGGTCAAAAATTTGTGGAAGTTGCCGTCTGACTCTTCTGGAGTAAAGAACAGAAAATCGATTTCGCCTTCGTGTGCTAGTTGTTGTGTAACAAAAAAAGATAAATATTGACATTTCTGGCACCCCTTAACTTTCTCCCAGTTTTCAGGGTCACACCTGGTCACACTTCTAGTGACGTAATTCGGGGTGCCGTCTAGGTTTCCGTGTGCTCTCTCGGAGGGCGCTTCCTCTCCCTCTCTCTGCTGACTTTAGCGGGCGACATGCTGCTTCGCAAGGCGTACAAGAATGCCCTGGGACTGCCAGAATATGCAGCCATTAAAAGGCTACTTGAGTTGGGAGTGCACAACACCTTTGAGGAGCTGGCACACGCCCAGATTGGAACGCAAATCAGAAGACTCGGAGGAACGGACAGCGGTCGCTATCTGCTCGACAAGCTGGGGTTGGCGAACCCGAGCGCCGCCTCCTTACGACAACAGATCGACCTGGATGACCATGTTCGAGCCGGTGTTCGAACAAGCAGAATTCCGAGGAACATGAACCCGTCACGGGACACGAAAAGGCGTATGGCAAGGTCCGAGGCCCGCGCTCGGTCCTGGGATAGCCGACCAGGCACGTTGACGCCGCGGGGCCTGTTAGTGGGGTGGCCACGGCGGCCGTGGCTACATCGGACGGGTGCAAGATCGTCACGAAAGCCTCCTTCATAGTGCCTTGTGCTACGGAAGCCGAAGAGGTGGCCATCGCACTGGCTATCACTTGCAACCCAAAAGCAACTATAATATCGGACTCTCAGGGCGCCGTTCGCAACTCCGCCGCGGGCTCCGTGGGGGAGGTGGCGGCTGGGCTACTGAGAAGGCACCCCCCCCCACAGGCGGCTCAGATCATCTCCAGGCCATATGGGGCATCCAGGAAATGAGGTGGCTCACGCCACAGCCCGAGATTCTCTTCCGAGCCGGGACTCTATTCCTGCCTCAGGCACGGAGGACCGGTGGTCGTTCTCCAAATGGCTACTGGACATCCGACTTGCTCGTAAGAGATTTCCAGCCCCGCATAAGTCCCTGAGCAAGGAAGGGGAACAAATCCTTCGACGGCTACAGACGGATACATTTCTCACCCCAGACAAGCTACACGCCTGGTACCCGGACTGATACGCGTCGGCAGCCTGCCCGTGGTGCGGATGGCAAAAGGCAGACACATACCACAGGGTGTGGGCCTGCGAGAAGGATGAAGAAACTTCACAATGTGAAGCAAGCGAAGAGGAGTGGTATCCGGCGCTCGCAAGCGAGGACCTGGTTAAGCAACAGCTGCTAATCCGGCGGGCCAAGGCGGCGCAAGCAAGTGGAGTCCTGGAATAGGGTCATACAGCTAACTCATATTTCTTCTCTACCTCTTTTTACCCCTAACCCCCTCCCCTCTCTCCTGCCTTTGTGCAAAAATATATTTTCAACAACAACAACAACCAGCGAATGCGTACAAACAAAACACTAAGATTATAGAAGCATCCGACTTAATAATAATCGCTTTACTGAATTTCCACGCATGTGAAACGATACAACACAACCTTTAGTAGGAATAAATGACAACAAAAACTACAAGCGTTTAATGAGGAGGGCTCAGCTCAGCCGGAAACGGGCTTGCGTCGTCGAGTTCCAGGCTTCTGAACGTGCACTCGTAGCAGACGACGCACGGCGCTATCCCCGCTTTCGCATGTTTCCGATTTCGACCGCACGGTGGCGACACGGTTCGATCTCGAGGCACTGTTCTCTTATAAACAGGAGTGTTTTCTTACGAGGGTGGCTTTCGAAGTATGATCGATTTGGTGGAAGACGAGACAGTTATTCTAAAATCTGGTATATCCCTTCGTGATGCTGGAATTTGGGGTTTTGTGTATGAGCATAAGTTCCCCAAAAAGCTGACGTAAAACAAAGTATTAAAACTCTAAGAGGAAAAAAAAAAAAAAAAAGAAAGAAAGAAGAAAGGCAAGGACAGCAAGTGACGAAAAGGTTAATAATAATAATATATTATACGGCCAGGGGGACAGATATAGGGTGCTAACCGTAACGACCAGTGGGGTAATTAATTAAAATTCGTTAATTAACTTTTTAATTAATGAAAATAGTCACAATTCCAAGTAGAAACTTGCTCGGCGTCATTGAAAACCACTAAATCAACTCTTAGAAGGATATAACGCAGGGGCAGTATGTTACGGCGTCCCCGCTTTCTTGTCGAAGCGCATCGTTGAGCCCGCGGTCTTGCCCCCCGGTGGTCGCGGCGCGAAGCCACCCCTCGCCTCTCTCGTAGCATGGAGGGAAGTTGGGCGCACGTCTGTTGCGCGTTTCATGTATGCAGGACTTTCCTGCATACATGTCCGTCGCGGAGTTCTGGATCGTCTAGCTCTTCTGGCTCTGTCTGATCCGTGGGTGCTATCAGTAAAGAAAAGAATCGCAGACTGCTGTCCTACACGAGCAACCACGGATATGTTCGAAATCTACTCGAAAGGATCCGAATCGCGTCACATGGCAACGCATATAAGAGCAACGCGGTGGAGCAGTGCTGGGCGGGAAGTAGGTTTCTCAACACCACTTAGTATATTGGTTTCTGGCCCGCGAGTGCCACAAGTTACAAATAGAGTCGTCTAAGTAAAGTAAGACGCTGCTCCAGGGGCACGTACGTACGACTGTATTTGTAACTTCACGCACGTTGCACTCGCGTATTTTACTTGAAGATTTCCCTATCAACCTCCTAGGGGTGTACCCCCCCCCCTCCATTTTAATTTTTTTTTTATGACTGAGTGCAGCCGCTTAAAATACCTTCCTCTCAAAAAATAAAATAAAATCACAATATTCATTTTACGCAGAATCGTTGTCCAACAGTGACCTGAGAGCACGAGCCATTTCGTCGCCTGTCCACCGGGCTGCTTAGCTCATTGCAGTGATGTGGCTGCTGCGCCAAAGTGCTTACCCTGCTACATCTTGCTACATTTCGCCAAAATATGATATATTACTGCCAGTATAGCGCGAAAATGTAATTTCGCTTTTTTATTAACTAATAGCTGAGATCCCACTGCGTGGCCAGATCGTTAGGTAGGCTTGTGAGAATTTTCAGAACCTTCGATTATTGCCTCGAATAACGTACTACTCGATTTTATCTCCGTGTCGAACACTAACAATACTCGAAAGTCTCGCAATATTTCTCATGTTCGTGAGGTGTTCTGGCGGATTAGCTCTGTTGAGTGCGCTTCTCGCCACGCTTTGGTGCACTACAGTGAAGCGAAAGCCGCGAAGCAAGCGTCGCGATTTTGCGTATCGTGCCTTGTCGCAGCACACCTGCGTGCTAGGAGGAAGTGACTCCTCCAGAGTGGAACGCCGTTCACGCAAACGCCATGTACTTATGTTAAAAAAAAAGAGAAAAGTTTAATTAGTGTTGATGTCCAAACATCACCTTTTAGTCAACATTTCTGAATAAAACGGTGGCTAGTTTACATAATAAACAACAATATTCTGAAGCCATAATCTAAACCCTGAGAAAAGGTGAAATAAAATAACGGACAAGTCGTGTCGTCTTGTCCGTTATTTTATTTCTCTTTGTCTCAGGGTTTATATTATGATGTTTCCTAACCATGCTCGCCTGCACACGATTTTTTTCTTTTGGAACGCAGCTCTTAGGCGCCCGCTTTCGTGTTTCTTGGCGTTGCCGTCGGCGTCGATGTAACCGCGCGAAATTTAGGGGGAGAATTGACGTCACGTGACCTCAGAACCAATTCAACTTTCCCGCTCAATGTAGCGGGAAAAATGACGTCACATGACTTGGCGTCACGTCACCTATGAATAAATCCAGTTTCTCCGCTAGATTTAGCGGCAAAATTGACGTCCCGTGACCTCGACAGCAATTCAGTTTGCCCGCTAAATTTATCGGGAAAAATGATGGCAGGACTTGGTGTCACGTCACCTATGAAGAAATTCAGTTTCTCCGCTAGATTTAGCGGGGAAACTGTGAGAGGAGGGGAGGGTATGGAGGAGGAGGAGGGGAGAGGAGGAGGAAGAAAAGAGGACGAGCAGAAGAGAGGATGAGTAGGGGAGGACAAGGAGGAGGGGAGGAGGAGAGGGAGGAGGGGCATTCACACTTTGAAATGTTAAAGGAATGTTTGTTGGTTTTGATTATACTTTTAATCACAGTTGTCTTTTACTGCACGTGCACACCTCCTAAGGCCCGCCAGCATTTTGGGGAAACGATAATGCATAAAATGATTGGTTGATTGATTGACTGATCTCTTTTTCTCTACTATAAAGGCATATACATTTTAAGAAAAGAGGCACTTGAAATGAAAAAAAGAAAGAAATTCATTCGGGAAAACGTTATTAACCGTGACAGAAATCTGGGTGCGGCTGTAAAGCGATAATTGGTGTACTTATTAACTGTAGTTTGTGATAGGCATTATCTGGAGACACCTCTCCCACCCTCGAGCCATAGGTCGAGTACCCATTGGATATTGCTGCAAATCTTTTTCGTGGAAAGCAATAGAGCTGTTTCTGCTACTGTAGGTCACCTACTCGTTTAAGAGCGTTTGTGTACAGCATACAAAGGATGACTGCAAGACGACACTGACGGCTTCACAAACACGACAAAAGGAAACGCTACCACCGCAGTATACATACCTGAGATACCTGAGTTGCGGATCGGCTGAAGGTCACCACGACCTCGACGACAGCAGAGATGGTGGAGGGAATCGGAATTGGTACTTGAAACTCGAACCAAGAAAAGCAGTAATATTGACTGACTCCAGAGCAGCTTTGAATATCTTGCAACAAAAAAACAAAAAACGTTGGTGACAACAACAGTGGATACTGCATATATATATATATATATATATATATATATATATATATATATATATATATATAAGTAACAAATTATGGACAAGGCAGGCACGAGCTCTTTTATCATTGAGAAATATTTTTTGCGAAGATTTTTTGCAACAATAAACGCTTCCATAACACTTGTGTTTTGTTTCCTACCCTATGACAGTAAGACTGGAAGTAACGCCGCCAAAGTGACGGATAACATTTTGAGGTAACGGTCACTTACCTTTATGGAAGTGTAATTAAAATTATAATTAGTCACAATTTAGCCATGGACAATTGTAAGTGCAATTTTCTACTTTTTTTATTGTAACGTGTACAATTCTGGATGCCATATTCATGGAGCACGTTTTCGGAGTTCAATAAAATATTTGTAACAGATGGCAACCTCGTAACACCCTGTTTGCTACCCAGTATCCCGGAGATCGACATCCGTAACTTTTAGAAACCAGGGAGATAAAAGAGACGACCAGAGAAAAGGCAAGAACCGCTTCGCAACGTCTTCCTGGTGACGTGCACGGATGTTCGCCCACTGCCAACCGGCAGCATGCACTTTCCTCGCCTAACGTCGGCGTTGTCCCAACACATCCTCGATTTGCATTGCTTTCTCCATTCGATGCCGGCAGCTTCGAACTGCCTCACAATCTCACTTCCGATGTCTCCTCCGAGACCAGGAGAGGCATCCGGCGATCACGGCCACGGCAGCAGGGTCCCCGGATATCAATGTCTCCGCCGACGCCGTATCCGAAGCGGATGAACCGTTATATATCTTCTATCTCGTCCGTCGCAGTAGCTCTCTCGCTGCGAGCGAGCCGTCGTCAGTAGCAGCAGCAACGCTCGGGCCCTGGCGCGAACTAGGCTGGCGGACTCTGTTGACGAGTTCCACAATTGCTATCTCTTGTGTGGACGGCAGAACCCTGCCAGTGGTCGGCGTCAGGTTGCAGCGCCTGCATTCTCCAGATTGTCTCTTCACAGAGCGGCTGACATGTGGCACTGCTAAGCCGGCTTGAACGCGCCGAGCCATGACTATGTTCGGTATCAAGACGTGCCTCTGGTTCGTTGTGATCGTTAGCTTGGGACTTGCGGGTGCCAAGAAATACAAGTTTTTTAGGTGAGTATTTGTTTGCGAAGCGTTCGCCTACGAGTTCAGGGGCCGTGCAACGTTGTGCCTGTTTCTCCGCCGGGCGTTGTTTCGGATTGAAAGTCTGCCAGGAACAGTTTTTGTTTTCTTTGCATATTTTTGTATGCGAACAAAAGGGTTCGTGTATGAATGACGGCATATGTGTTCGGTGCCACAAATTTTACATTTCTGAAGGTAAGATGCATGTTTAATAGGATAAGAAAAATCTTCCCGCCAAAATGCCCACAATCTGACGAAGACTTACCGTTAGAAACCGCCATGTAACTGAGATTCCAGCTCTCCGTTAAAGAACCCGAGATGGTTCTTTAATATACCTCTACCATTCTCTGGAGTGTTCCAGATGCTCTTCGTTGGTTTGGCACGCAACCACCGGGATTTTATATCTGAAAATAAGAAGCGTTTTAGACGCGGAGTAGGTATGTATAAATATATATATATATATATATATATATATATATATATTAGTCTTTTATCTGTTGTATACTGGGCCACCGTCCACACCATATTCTTCGTGTTCCCGTTGCCTCGCAGACGCAAAACAAGCCGTTTATGCCAAACTGCAAGACTTTGCGCGGAACTTTCAAGTAATTGTAATTGTAATTGTAATTTATTTGCACAAGAAGTATGATGTATATGCGACGACGTGCGAGGCTAGGCAGAAAGGTAACAACCCTTACGCTTGTGCGCCTGCTAGCCGGTCGCCGCATACACCGTGGATAAGGGGAAAGGAAAAGGGGAAAAACAATATGGGTAAGTATAGATAGTAAAAAAAAAAAAAAAAAAAAAAGTGAGGCTGGCCGCTTTGTATAAAGTAGGCCAAGACCACCTATAGAATAATCAAAGCCTGTGGACGTCCTCCTCTTCCTCCACGAAACGTCATCACAGCCAGATCATCCTGTGACGCGTTCATTGGCTACGAGGCTCAGCCGAACGCTGACGCCACACTCGTGTTCAATCGGTGTCTTCGCTCCATCTCACCGTGATGACGTCAAAATTCTAGTGTCCAAGCTTTGACTCCTAAGAGGTGGTGTTGAGTTGGCTAAATGGGGGAATATATTCTGCAAAAAAAATTAATTAAATGAGAACGACCACAGTGAATACATTAAACGTTTGTTCCGCTCACGTCAAAAACGATATCTCTGCGTTTAAGGGGCATTTTAAGAAATTTCCGCTCACCGATGCGTTTTTTTTTTTAAAATGATGATTTAGACTATTTTTGCTCGCACCGCCGTGCATTTTCAAAGCTATAGCTTCGCCTCTTTTTCCTTCCCACCGCTTCTTGTTTTCTTCATGTTGTTACCAGAAGTTTTTAACAGCGTACTTTTGAAGCGTCGTGGCCTCGCCTGCAATGGAAGCTCGCGAAATCCGAGTTAGCTTCCGCAAGAAGCCTTAAAATTAGAATCGCGGTATCACCAGGCACGCGAACAGGAAGCTGCGTTGCACTCGCGTCTCTGTGACGGCACCTCGAGTAACCGCGCAAACGGAATATCAATAATAGAGAGTTTTAGTAGATCGTGCTTTCGGGTCACGCTATTTGTAGCGGGAGCTCGCGCTGCCACTCTGACGCATGCTCTGAAGCGCGCGACCGTAGCGGTAGCGGGCCTTTGGAAAGGATCTACTAGAACTCCCTAATATTTCGAACGAGTGTATACTTTTCGCAGAGACATAAAGAAGCGTGTTGCTAACTTGGAATTACGGTGACAGATCTAGTGGACAGGACGTAAGACCTGTCAAAGAGTATACAGGAGCTGATAAAGTGACCTCCACTGGTTATTTTATTGGCACCTCTCTTCCAATTCGTTCTACATTTGCAGGAAAACGGCTCAAGGAACGTTACAAGGTGAGTTCAGCTGAAAGTCTTTCAATACCACTTGCTCATATACTATAAGGAGTATTCACTCGGCGCCATATTTGTGGGTATTGTCTAGAGCGCATGCTCAGAGCGAGGTCACATTAATAGGCTGCTAAGACCGGCGATCTTGAGGGTGCAGAATGCACGTTACGAAATAACTGTGGAAGCTCGCCATCAGCATGCGCTCAGCAGTTGTGCACACAGCTATGGCCGCCAGTGAATACTTCCTATACTCCGTTTCACAAATGTCTGCAGTCGATACAAATGCACGGGTGTGTGAGCGGCGAGCCTATAGTTCAGGGGAATGCCTATGTTTGTACGAAAACCTGTGCACAGAAGGCACTTTCCGAAGCCACGTGCGCTCATGCCCCATACCTTTGTCTGCACTGCACATGTTTGTGCGATGGAGTATATGTCATCACATGCACTGTACAATAATAATACGTGCCATTGTAAAAAAAAATTAACAAAAAAAAATATATTTTTTTTTAATTGGGGAGAAGATAACAGACCCTTTCCGAAATTCAGTGCCATCTGGTAGTTTGTAAAGCAGTTTAGGTTTTGCCATATCAATGGCGGAAATTAACTTGTATCGGCACCGTCACTTTCCCAAGTCAACGGCACGCGAGGAATTGTTCAGTGTGAGTTCTTTCTCGATCAACTTCAGTTCGATGGTGACCAAGAACCTGCATTCAGAGCTACAACCCACTCAGATGCCTCGAGAAAATTCTATACACCGAACTGTTTTAAAGCCGATTGTGTGCCGCCCACAGATTGACTGAATCTGAGTTATTAAAAATAAACGCTTACGTAGCTCTATACACGCCTTGCAAGATCTGCTTAGGAACATCTTCAACATCTTCCTTTATCAGTCACTATACTCTGTTTCACCTTGTGTTGTACCTTAGTAAAGGCTACAAGCGCGAGCTCCTTGCTCTATGGCACGCCTCGGCGGCACAAGCTCTCGGGCACCAAGGGCAGCTGCCAACGCTATGAGCTCGCGCTTCTAGCCTTCGCTGGGGTACTACATAAGGGGAAATGGAGTATAGAAGGCCGCCATTGACCCCGTAAGTGTGACGTCATGGGTCCAAACAAACCGTTGCTAGGGTCGTTGTTATGGACAAATACATGTGGTTAGGTTTCGCTACGAAAACCCGACCGATCAACAATCGGGAGTAGGATTTAAACTTCTAAAAATCACAGATATAAAAAGCTTGAAAGTCATATATGTTTCGACAGAAGTGTGCCAGTAATCGCTTGTTTCTGAAATATTTACGACTGCAACTTTCTGTCCTCAAGATGCCTACAGCAGACGACGAATGCAAGAAGTATGCCGTCTGCCACACGCCGGCAGGCCAAGCCGGCGCCGTCGTTTGAATCGCGTGAATAAGGACGATATTCTGATATTGCATTTGTTCTAAATATAATGATTTTCAGTAACTGAAAAGAATTCGTAGTGGGGTGCGATGCAAAATATGGTTTATCGAAAGTCCGGGCGTCGATCGAGATGATCGTCTGCTAAAACATCGAATTGGACCAGTGAGAAAAGCACTTCAGGCGATCGGTCGAGATCCCAAATTTTGTTTGTGGACCTGCGCTATGTGAGTGCGTCGTACCTGGTTGTAACCATTGCTGCAATGGTTACTGAAAAAATCGCGATTGTCATATTTTTTTAATAACCTGATAACCTCAATAATAATAATAATAAACGAATTACCTTGACGGCGTACGATTTACTTCTTATACTGGCCTGGACTACGCCGGTAATGCACTTCAGATCGTTGTCGTAACTGATCTGCATGACGTGGTTTGATTTTACGGCATTTTCACCCCTCTGAACTGAGCTGGGTTCTCCACAGAAAAAAACGCACATTGCGTAGGCCTCTACGGCCACGGCAATGTACAGGGTGTCACAAAAGAAAATTTACACGGTCTTTTTTACCGCAAAAATAAACTAGGCATCGCCGAACGCTCATTCTCCGCCCAAAGGTAGAGCTAGAGGTCACAACCAGATGGCAAAGTTTCAGCCCGATCCGATAACTTAATCAAAAGTTATAAGTGATTTTCTGAAAATTTCAATGGGAAAATGGCGGCCGACGGACTTTTCAAACACATGGGGCTCTATGGCAGTAGAAACCGAAAACGGGCAAAAATGGGCTCCATTTTCCCATTGAAATTTTCAGAAAATCACTTATAACTTTTGATTAAGTTATCGGATCGGGCTGAAACTTTGGCGTCTGGTTGTGACCTCTAGCTCTACCTTTGGGCGGAGAATAAGCGTTCGGCGATGTTTAGTTTATTTTTGCAGTAAAAAAGACAGTGTAAATTTTCTTTTGTGACACCCTGTACTTGTTTTTGTCGCTTGTTTACTGACGCAATTCAGTGAAGACGCCCGCTGCAACAGAGGCAGGCAAATCTATCGTGTCGTCTGCTACCAAAGCAAAGCGGAGGGTAATACTTCAGAAATAGATTTCATTGTTGCAATACGACACTGAGACGACAATAACATCTTCATAGTTAGATATCAAGAAGTAAGGTTGCTTACAAAAAATTATTTACTTACTTGTAAGCAAAAATCTAGCCTCATGTGGAGTCTCCATGCATTAGTCCATAGCAACGCCCCTAGCAACGGTTTGTTTGAACCCAGACGCCATGTTGTGACGTCATCAGTTACGGGGTCAATTGGTATGGCACAGATGCCGTTCCACAGATGATGATAGTGATCAAAGTGGCCAGGCTGAATTTCGGAAAGGGTACAATTAAATATGGGTTACATTAGCAATCTATGCTTCACGTGCTGATTTTTTTTTCTTTCTTTGATCAATGAATGTTTGGTTTGCTTGTTCGCCGAGGAGATGTTAATGGACAACAGTAAATGTATCAACAAAGTAGAGAAAAAAAATCTATACAGACAGTTTCTTTTTCCTTTCGAGGAAGGTGTGAATGGTTTTGGGTATCCTGGTATTTACCGGCTCACGCAGTTAACTATTAGCCGAGTATTTTCTTAACTCTTGGTCATCTGTCGTGTTTAGGTAATGCTCAGTATGACCGCGCAGACAGTTTTTGTTTCAGGTTTAAACATTTTATCATCCTCGCAATTCGCCGAGCCTTCTCAAGCACTTTGCGGCAAAGTAGGCGCTCCTAATTTCTTCGGGTGTACATTATTATAGGACTATCGCATGCAAACGTTACATAGACGCATCGCCGTTTACTTTTTCACTCAATTTTTATCGCTGATCTCACGTACAGGGGTCCTACCATATCGCCGAGCGATGTATATTATATATGTGTCGAGCGCTGACAGCGCAGCAGAGGTTGGTGGCACTATCGCTCCACGGGGCGCGGTGCCGCCGGGGCCGAGATGCGCTCCGATAGCAAACCAAAACTTAAAAACCCGTCGAATTTGTGCGGTTTCTCAAAAAGCCGCAAAATGCTTCGCGTGCCTTCTATCGTTTTGAAATTTATTGATTCAGTGTTTTTCGATGATGCTGAGCAATTTTATAATTTAAACCATGCCCTTAAACACAATATTAAAAAAGTTAATTACGCAAAAATAATTAACAACTTAATTATCCCCGACTTTGTTAATTTTCCTAAATGGGCCCCTGGATCAGGCCCAAAACTCCACAAGCCTTTTTTCGTTGCGATGAGCAGTTTTCGCAGGAGCGATTTGGCCTGCGTTCTCTGAAACACCCTGTATATAAAGAGTATACATGTACAATAGTGACTGGCCCTCCGTGTGTTGCGCGAGGAAGTGGGCTCGCACGTATTTGTAGTAGAGTGTAGTCGAATCGATCACCCGCGAAACGGTTCCATGAAGCCTGTGCTTGTCCCTGTATTTATTTCGCTGTATTTCTTTCGCTAGAGCTCGAGGAATCCTGCTCCCAACCGTGCCAGAATGGCGGCCGTTGCTTTAAGGAACGGTGTGCCTGCCCTCCTGAATACATGGGGCACTTTTGCGAATACCGTGAGTACGAGAAGTCTTGACCCCACTGATTTCGTTGTCCGTATATTTTGATTAAAAAAAAAAAAAGAAAAATGTTGCCTCGATTTCCAGCAACCATAATGTGTAAAAAAAAAAAGAAAAGAATATTATGTAAGTTTTTTATATTGTATAATTAATTTGTAACCCTTTTTAATTGGGTTTAGCCGTGCAAACAGTCTTCCCCATTTCTCATGACTGTAATTCCATGAAAAGCTACGTCATGTACGAGTAGCTTGCTTGCGACGTTCTATAAAAATGAACAAAAACTAAAAAAAAAAAAACACTGACAACCCCAACATCGATATTTTTTATCGTCTCAAACGCACCGGAAGCGCGTGATGACACACACACACACACACACACACACACACACACGCACACACACACACACACACACACACACACACACACACGCACGCACACACGCGCGCACACACACACACACACACACACACACACACACACACACACACACACACACAAAACAAAATCAGTGCGGAAAAAAAATATGCCGCGCGAAAGGGTTTGTCAAAGTTTGCGTCCTCCTCCCCCCATTTGAACTCCTCCTTGCTTTTCTTCTTTTTCTTTTTTTGTGACGTAATTGGCGTTGTCATTTTTTTTACTCGTAGTCCTTGTCAACAAAGTAGTGAGAACCGATCAGGGGGTATGAGATTGGCCCAGGCAGCTGTTCTTCGGGGATTGCAGCCAACCACGCATTATTTCGTGCTTCATCTATTGGAAAACTTCCGTAGCACGGCACATTTTGGGTTTGGTAGTACTCGAGCAGAACTTCACGCAGCACCTTTGCAACATTGCCCCTCACGTCGCTCACCAAGGTCTGCTACACGTCGTTTTCTTTCCTTTCTTTTTAGCTATTGCTTTAGATCGACTAACACTGCGAAAAAAGAAACGAAAAAGGAAAACAAAAAACAAAGAGGAACTGAATAGTGACGCGTCTTCTACACGCGAAGAAAAGTCTCACGAAATACTCTAGCAGCTGGCCGGGTGGCACGTTCGCGTGCCCATGAACGATGAGAGGGAAAGAGAGAAATTGAAATGACACTTCCTGTTTGAAGTCATCCAAAAAGACAAGGAGTGCACCATTTCCCTAACTACGCCATAGATTCGGGCGGACGTTTCAAATCGAGCTTTCTAAATATATTTGTTTTATCTGCAAATACGCCGTTTTTGAGCTTGATATTTTTAGGGTGATCCCTAAGAATCATTTTCAGTCCTTTGCAATAATAATAATAAAAATTTAGACATTGGGGTTGTCAGCGGCCCATCTAATCAAAGTAAAGCGGTTGGCATGTACTATATCGCAGCAGAGACGAGGTTAAAAAAGGCGTTGGGAGATATCGAAAATCAATAAGTAGTGACCACGATGGGTTCCGTGTTTTCTGTTCATAATTTTCTTGTGTCGAATTAAGAATATTTTTTACGGGTCTGTTTTTTCCTGCGGATTTGGTTTTTTTTTTGTTATTTTGTATAAACTGGTTGTAATTTATTCCATTTTACACACACACACACACACACACACACACACACACACACACACACACACACACACACACACACACAAAAACGAATCTGTGGAAAATAATAAACCTCGGGAAAAAAATACACCCAAATTCGAGGGGAAAAAACACACACAAAAAACACGGGACCCTATTTAAAAGTACGCGCAATATTTTCTTTTTGCCAGCTTTTGCTACGTTTGGTTTACGGTATTGAACTGTGGAACTGAGGCTGTTTACTCGGTTTAAAATAAAGGACTCCCAATTATATTTTATTCCGACTAGAACCTTTCTGTCTTTCCTTCTCACACAGCGAGGGATGTATGCAACGTGGAGCGAGCTGGGTTCCTTGGAGTGTCCAGGTGCAGCCACAATCGACTCGGGACGACGTGCTTCCTCGAATGCTCTAGGGATTGGAGCTACGAGTCTCTTCCGCTGACAAACGTGTACAACTGCACCCCTTCTGGCGAGTGGTCACCTCCGGAGTTCCCAAAATGTATCAAAAGTAAGGACAGCATTTGTTTCTTATTGTGTTCACAAATGAAACGATATGTAATCTTAACATTTTGGGGGGTATATCACAGGGGGAGGAGGGGGGGTAAGTGGCCGAGAAGACAAAGGGAAGCAGGACAAGGCGCACTCTCAACTAAAGTTTGATAGAAAAAACGTGTTAATATAGCCACCAGAAAAACAAATTCGTTATCCTTATCTCCTCAGCCCACGCTTCAGAAATTCAAACTCATTTGTAGATAATGATAATGACATGTCCCTTATGCATTGCTTCTCCGTGGTCCTAATTTCAAGTGCCTCTCGACAATTTATCTTTGTATCTAGACAAAAGTCTAATGTCATTGAAGGCCGAGGTGCAAGAGCTTCTGTTACAATGAATTGCAAGATGCCATGGAGGAGTCGTTCTTTTGGAATTAAGCTGAGTGCTCGCGGGTGCGATCATACACGCACTTGCTCGTCTGGCCCACAAATGTCATCCGACACATCAACTGAATTTCGTAGACGAGCCAGTACCGCATTCAACATACTTATTTTGGTGTTTATTTAGTTGTGCACGGATCTTAAAGACCGACGACCAGACTCAAGATTCTGCAAGGCAGAAGATCCTCCTTACCATGGGGGAGGAGGAAACAGCAACGGTGGACAGGGTAGAAGGTGGGAGAGAACGAAGTGGGGGAAAAGTGGAAAGCGCGAACTGGTCGTCAGTCTTTAAGACAGCTGTGAATTATTTATCTGACGACAAAGTCACGCCATCCTATTGGACGCTGAAAAAAACCCCGGAACGTTATAGCGTTGGGCTACCTTTTTTCAAATTTTGCGTGACGTTGCACATGCATGGGATGACAACTGCAGCTCCGAAGTCGGTCTATCGCGAGTTGATTTCTTGAACCCTTTAACATTTTTAATTAATCTTTCCGCCACCTCAACCAATGATCTCAGCGGAAAACCAGCCTTCTGCAAGCGCTCTATCTGCCCCTTAAAGCTGTCTTGCGCGCTGTGCCTGCATGACTTCCTGGGGGAAGTCCCCAGACACGAACTGGTGATGCTTCTTTTCTCAACCTTCGAACGTGCGGAGTCAAAAGGAAGGATGCTCTTTGTTCGAGGTGCATGCGTCCAGCAAGCATGGTCCCCGAAAACGCTAGCTCGAGATCTAGGAATTTCAGTTCACCCACTTTTGGTAACTCGTGCGTAAAAGTCAACCCAGAGCGACAGAATTTAAACAATTCTAGCAACTGAGAGACTTCACTGCTAAAGGGCCCCGCTGAGCTGCTGAGGATAAAGAAATAATCGACGTCACGAAGTGTCTTGGCATTGTCATTATTCAAAAGTTTCAATGCAATGTCTTTTGTTTTTTCCACAGCTGCCTAAAAAGAATGTTGCACGTACAGAACAGGTGTCACACTCTACCCAATGCAAATACATTTCCTTTGCACATATTGGCTCCCCTCAAATGACACGAACGTATAATTTAAATATACCATACGTTTGTGTCATTGAGCGGCTCCTATAGGCAGTTAACCTAAACTAATGGTTTAACTCTAGTTCCTGGATAATCGTCGTAAAACAGCTGAACGAGGTTCGATTAGTGATGCGTCAGTTATAATAATCTTGTGAAATACGAACCATATGAGAGCCTTACGTCATTCTTCCGCACCGAGAAGCTGTAAGCAAGCATTTTTTTTTTTTTTTTAAGTTGATTATTTAGGATTTAGGGAGCGAGATTTTCAGATCGCGGTAACACCATCGCTGAAAATTGCAGATTTTGTTTTTGACGATATTTTTTGTATTTTTTATGCGAGCGCATGCTGTCGGCATCGGGTGCAACGAAGGATGGCATCACCCTAAACAGAAGGACATTGAGGCATCACTCTAAAAAGATGGACATTGTGTATCGTAACAGCTGCGTAATACACGTTGAAGACCCTAGGCTAGCAGTCGTACTGCACTGGCTAAATTTATCATCTACACGGGAAACACCACACACCCATTGGGGCTGACTAACCTTCTGCTGTCTAAACATAATATTTAAAAGTCGCAACGAAACACGAACAAGGAAGATGGACAAAGGCACAGCGCTAACTTACAACTGAAGTTTATATCCATAGTCACCCAGGTCTCTGAACTCGTCAAACACAAAGTTGGAGCCGAGAGTTTGCCGAGCACGCCGATTGGACGTCGGCAACAAAAACGCCAAGTCATCGTCGTGATAGGCCAATCGGTGCGCTCCGTCAGCTTCGGCTCCAACTTTGTGCTTGACGAGTTTAAAGGCCCTAGTATTAATGACCGGTGCCAACAAAAAAATAAAAAAATAAAAACAAGTCAATGAAGAAACACAAATACACACCGTTAAGAGGTTAAACTATTGTAATATCACTAATCGACAGCAACACAGGCTGCTGTCCCTCTGTCGAGAAACCGCGGTTATTTCTGGTCATCAGCACAGAGGGAGTGCTGATGACCACACTGCAGTCCCAATCTACCAACTTCTCGGGCCTAAAGAATCTACCGCGTAATCTTGTCTCTGTTTTTGCTTAGTACGTTACAGTCAGTGAAGATGGGGGCACAACCATAAGCCATGCAGTGCACACCGAGATGCCCTGATATGACCGTATCTACGGTGTATCGATGTTCCCTCAGACGTTCATTCAGGCAGCGGCCTGTGTGTCCTACATACTGACGGCCGCGCGACTATGGGACGGAGTACACGACCTCTTCCCCACACTCCACGAAGCAAGTTTTATGCTTCTTCGTGCAGCCGCTTGTCCTTATCGTGTCAGAATTAGAATCAACTTTCTTACACAGACTAGCCAATCTTTCCGGGGCTGAGAACAGTACGTTAATTCCCGCGTGCAAGCCCACTCTCTTAAAATTGTGGGATACTTTATGCAGATAACGGTATGACCCCCCCACTCTTTCCATTTTCTTCCTCTGTGATTCCGTTCCCTCAGTATTCTTATTTTTTTAACTTCCTGAATGTGCTCTCCGCCACCGCTGACAAAGGGGTGGTTGGGTATCCCGATGATTTAAGTTTTAAAGCCTGATTATTGAAACTTTCGTCAATCATGTTTGCGCAGGACTTTTTTAGATTGTTACTGAAGTAGAGGTTAATGATCCCACTCTTCACCAGTTTGAAGTGCCCCGACGCGAATGGCAGGATTGGCTTGTTTCCTGTTGGCTAATGAATCCAGCACACATGCTCCGGTTGAAAGTTAAGCTCGAGGTCTAAGAGGTTTCAGACAGTCACTGAATGTGGACAGGGTTTCTGACGCCAACAGAGAGGGTTCCTGTCTCTGTCTATTTTGCTTGTCCGTGTCTCGTTGGCCCTTTTAAAATATTATGAATCACCAAATGGTCGAACTTTCCACCCTTGTCTAAAGATACACGCAACACAATTACTTTACACGAGGAGGTTTTGTAAATAGCTGTGTAACATTTCCGCGGGTGATGGTTTAGTTTTCTTAGAAAATTGGAAATTTTAAATGATGTGCTTCATAATGTATTCGCTTATTCTCAGTCATGTATGTCACCTCTAAAAAGTCATGCCCAACATTCGTTAAAAGAACGTTCTTGTGAAAAATTTAGAAAAAGCTGTAATCTCACAACATATTATCTTCGTAAAAAAAAAAAAAAAGAAAAAAAAGTTGCCAGTTGTTTTATAGTTTTTACAGTTTATAAACTAATCTTTTTGGTGGCGATATTCATTGGAATGAATTGGTCTTTCCCGGAGGTATCTCCTATAGGTGGACTGTCGTTCAGCACAGAATATGAGAGCTCATCATCGTATACTAGATATATCGTTTTGAGCAAGTTGGTAGTACCAGCATATTAGCCAGTAGTACACTTGCAGGGTCCAGTCGACGATTATGGTTTCAAGTTGTGGACTTATTTGAACACATATATTTGAGGACTTAAATCCAACGTCGACTTATCTGCCATCCTCCGTTCCAGAGGGGGACCGCCAAGTCAAGACATCAGCACCTGGATTTAAACGCCCGAGCGGGACGTGCGCAGTCTGGGGACGAGGACATTACCGCACCTTCGACGGTTCCCTGTTCAGCTTCCGCAGCCGTTGCCGGCACCTCCTGGCTCACGAGTGTCGCAGCGATACGTTCAGCGTCCACGTCAGCGACAGACACTGCGACGCCACGGCGCAGGCGGCGCAATGTCGGCGCTCCGTCGAGGTCTACGTGGAAGGGCAGAAGTACGCCTTCGAGGTCAAGCCCGCGCCCAGGGTGTCGCTGGGCAACGTGTCGGCCCTCCTACCGGCGACCCTGGAAGGACTGCGCGTCGACTACGTCGCAGGAAGAGTCATCATCAACAGTCAGCTCGGGTTCACGTAAGTTGCGCACGAACGGCAGGGTGTGTTCGTTACCGTAAACATTTATTTGTCTCTGCATTGCCGTGCAATAGGGTGTGTTTTTAATGCGCTCAGCCGCCCAAAGGATGTATAAAGCGACGCATGGTTTGTGAGGAAAAGACAGCTTTAATGATGGGAAGTAAGCAAGAGCGAGACCCGCTATCAGCACGTGCAGCTATGGAGAGCGTATATTACATATTATCGTTTACGCGACCTTCACTTCTCAGCTGGGGGTACTGTTAATCGCCTGTGATCGTGAGTAGAAGCCATGATCATGAAGCTTACTTGTGGCAATCTGATCTCGGTGCTACCCAGGCATTTTAAAGCATGCGGACGGTGAGTCGACGGCCTTAGTCCCTTTGTGGTCGTGGCAGGGTTTCTCATGTTTGTTCTTCGGGCACGTTAACAGGCGCTATTTAGGTCTTTGTTGCCAATTGGTTTTTGTGATAAATGAAGGTGTACCATATGCATAATCTTGACCTGTCTCAATTTAACTCATACAAAAAAAAAAATAACCCCTTTGTGAAGTATTTTGGTGACAGCGCGTGCCACAACTAATGCACCACCTATTTTTTTTCTACGGCCTTGATATTCCACATCTGAACAGTGTTACAGTGTATTAATGTAATTAGTTTGTCAGCTGGCTCCACACACAGCCTCTATTTTCCCTTGCACCGAACAGGGACAAAAAAAAAAAAAAAAGATGCGATGGAGAAATTATAATATTTTAGAAATTGCACGTTTTTATTTATTACGCGAATTGTATTTATTACGGTAATAATATGTTAAAAACGTACGCAAAATTGTTGCTAATTACCGTTATAAGATTAAACAAACTAGAGACACGCACAGACTCTTAACATCACCAGATAAAATGAACGAAGTAAAATAATAAAATTACAATACATATTCAGCGAGAAATATAACTAATTAACGGTAACTTTCACTATACAGTAGTCATTCGGGAGATACTTACACTTTCTTCGGATGCTAATAAGAAAACACCAGATAAGTGTTCATTGTCATACGCGGGCTGAAGTCACATTTGTTAATCCAACAGGCACGGCTGTTTAAACATAACCTCCATATGCAGGGTCATCTGGGATGGGCGGGACTTGGTGGAGGTTTCTGTGGAAGAGTCTCTCAAGGGAAGCATGTGTGGCCTTTGCGGTCAGTACGACGGCGATCCAAGCAACGATTTTGTCAACAGCCACGGTCGGCAGGTCTCGTCCCGGTCCGCCTTTCTTGACAGCTGGAAGAAGGACGACCTAGGCGGTAGGTGTCAGCTTCTTTGTACTGACCTGGCAATTCTAATGATTGGAGGGAATACCCATCCTTCTCTTTAGCTATTCTTTGTTTTCGAAACTGATCCTTGACATATGTGTTTGCAGAGGAGTGCGAAGATATCTTCTTCGATCCTTCGATACAGCACCATAGTGAAGAACTTGTCCTGGAAGCCCGTCAGCTCTGTTCCAGAGTTACGAATGAGACGTTTGCATCCTGCCACAAGGTAAAGTGCACACGCAGTATCTGTAGTAAGCGGATACTGAGCGATGTTGTGGAAAGTATTCTGTGGAACATGGGCATGGGGTTGTCTGTCGAAGGTTTCTTGCATCCGCAAGCACTTTCTGTTCGTATAGGCTAGAATCGTATTGCGGTGCTGAAGATCTGTTTCAGTACAGTACAAATCTGCTGTGCAGGGAAGCTTCTCTGCCTTGTCCCTTTCAAAGTGGCTTTACTGCAACACAGAACTTGTTTAGACAGTACATTCCATCCAAAATCCGAACTCAAACAGTGCGTGCACTGCCTACCTGTGTTTTTCGTCGCTGAGAAATTATTAGAAAGAAAACAATAATAGGTTTCGTGCGTTTACAATGAAAGGAAAGACCAGTTTCAAGTGCTCTTTATTGCCATTGTAAACGCACAAACAAATATGTTGACACGCGCTCAAAAATTAGTCAGGCTAATTAGTGGCCTGATCACTGATGTGTTTTAAAAGTGACTAAACTTGCTGAAACTGGGATTGTAATTGCTGTAACTTACGTTGGATAGCATTCACAATCATCATGTTTAAGGACCGACCTACGCTTCGCGCTTTCCACTTTTGCTCCGCCTCCTCCTTTCCTATATCCTCTCCACTTTTTTCCTTGCGCCAGTCTGGTACCAACTGGTACTCACACTTTGGTACTCACAATCGCAGCTTAGGCGAGGGGAGCGCTAAAAGGATTACCTTCCCTGCAGAAAACCGAGGTGGTACGTCGGTCTTTAAGCAAGTAAAATAAAATTGAATTTTCGCCTCCGCAGCCTACATTACTGTCTGGTGTAAAACAGAAACCCTGATCGATTGGCATTCATTTCTCAAAGACTTAATGCTACACTCTTCCAGATCAGTTGGCACGCTAATTAGTACCGTCAGCTTTTGTGGTGCTTTAGGTACTAGTAACCTTTAATACCCACAGCGCAGGCACGTAGCCAGGATTTTGTTTCGGGGGGGGGGGGGGGGGGGGGGGGGGGCCGCCCATGACAAAATGCTGTATGTGGGGGAGTGGGGAAAGGAGGTCCAGCAAAATAAAAGATTTCGGGGGGGGGGGGCCCCCCCCCCCCCCTTCCCCTTGGCTACGTGCCTGCCACAGCGGCTGCGTGTCTTTTTGATCGTTTTCACAGTAACCTTTTTGTTCATCCTTCCTATAGATCCATAAAATCCTCTTGTTTAAACAACTTCGAAATTAGATTAAATCATCATCGCACTTGTACCATCTCTTCGTGTTTAACGTTTGATGGACAAGAAAAAATATTACAAACGCCCTCTCCCATTCTCGCAGTTGGTGGATCCCAAACCGTACAGCGACATGTGCCTGGAGGACTACGAGTCGTGCCTGGGCGATCAGGGCGATGGCTGCCGTTGCAGTGCGCTGGCGGAGTACTTCAGGGAATGCACGCGACTCGGCGGTAGCCTCGAAGCAACCTGGAGGAGAGACGACTTTTGTCGTAAGCTCTCTTTATACACTTAAAAAAATAACTTTACTTCAAAGCAATTTTTGAGGTCCCAATCGCCGCAATCTACTTGGAGAATCATGGAAATAAAAATATAAATTGACCTTCAAAAAAAAATATATATATACAGTCATGTCTTGTTAATATGAACCGCGTTAATAGAGGTACCCCGCTATATGGACACCATTTTCTGGGACGAACCGGGAAGATACATGAACTTTTGTCTCGTTGCCAGTGTCCCACTAGAGCGACAGACAGAAACAAAAGACAGCGACAAGCCTCAAACCCATGCAGCATGCTTGCGATGGTACCTTTGGCAGGCGTTTAGTCGTTCGGTGCTCGTGAAGTAAGCACGAGCGATTGCAAGTCTGCCAAAGATACCCTCACGTGCATGATGCTCGTGTTTGAGCATAGCCTTCTCTATTCAACAAGGCCTTTCAAATCGTGAAAGACTCTGGTTTGAGGCTTGTCGCTATCGTTTGTTTCTGTCTGTCGCTCTAGTGGGACACGGGCATTTTTATGAACAACTCACCTTATGGACGATTTTTTGGGGGAACAGAGGTTTCCATATTAACGAGACATCACTCTATATCTATATCTGCGCTGGCACTGATCATGGCGGCACGAGAAACGTCGTATTTAAAGGAGCGATGCAACAATTTTTGTACTTTGCGCAAATACCGCTTAAAACGGATCCCTTACGTTAATGACCTATGAAACACGCGTTCGTTTTTCGCCCCACGCAATAGAAGTCCCAGAAAAAAATTAAAGAAAAACGAGCAGCGCTCACCCCCTCAACTCGCAGCCAGAACAAGCGGCCACGTGATCTGGAGCCGATTATATGCCGCCAGTGTTGATCATAGCCGCGCGCTGGGGTTGGCAAAGCGCAGGACACGCGCTGAGTTCCAGACATTGTTATGGCTCGGATGTTGTCGTCGTTGCAGCGATTGGACACAGGTCACTACCCGAATGCTTCTCGAGCTAGCAATTATCACGAGCCCAAGTCGAGTGCCCACGCAATGCTCGGGTCCAATCTATGAACCGCATTCAAATATCGTCACTTGGGTGAACCGCGATCCCCAGGTTACGTCATCAAATTTTGCAAAGGGGAGATTGAATGAAAATTATCGCTTTGTCCTTGAAATTACACCGCAACAAAGGAGTTTCTTGGCCAATGGCGTTGCGTGTGAATATCCTTGAGTCCCAGGTGTGCCAGTAAGCTCGTGTAGAGAGAAAAACATTCCAATTGAATATCGTTGCACAGCTCCTTTCAGAGCGCCCAAACTGTTTTTTTTTTTTCTCCTTAGGTGGATGTGTATTTTCAGCTTCGTTATTATTCGAGCTCCTTTCGTAGGTAGCAAATATTGGCTCTCGCAAGTGCTTTGCAAAAAGAAAAAGTAGACGCACCATATTTTCATAGCGGTATGCTACAATTCGCTAATCGCTCGCTTTGTCCGGAAATCGCGAAGTCACGAGTGACGTTAATAGTCACGGACAGTTCAAGAACTGTCCGTGACTATTACCTCATTATCGCTCAGAAGCCAATCAGATTGCTGCATTAGCCGATAAGAAGGCTTGACTACCAATCACGAGGCAGGAAACGTGAATTAACATATTAAGCCACGCCCTGCGTTTCTTAAGCTGTCAGGAACTATGCGGAACGCAAGTTCGTCTGCTTCTTGCGCATGGGCTGCGGAGACGTCAGAACGTCGAGCTCTGATTGGCTCTGAATGGAAGAATAGGGGGTATAGCTATACCCTCTATTCTTCCATTCAGAGCCAATCAGAGCTAGACCTCAATGCTACCTGCCTTGGGGTCTACCCGGCATTCTTCCAATCGAGCCAATCAAAGCTCGGCGTTCTGACGTCACCGGAACCCTTGCGCAAGAAGCAGACGAACTTGCGCTCCGCATAGTATAGTGTGCGTCGTAAAGTAACATTGCCGTGTCAAGCTGGAACGTTTTAACGTCTTTACGTTACTTCGCTAGTTCAACGATAATATGATTGGTAACGTAACTCGCTGCCCCCTAGTCATGGCTGGGAGGAGGACTCATGGCTGTACCTTGGTTGTCCCATAGCTGCCAGGTGTCCGGCAGGCAAGGTGTACAGCCAGTGCGGCGCATCCTGCATCAAGACCTGTCGAGATCCAGAACCCACCTGCCAGCCCGAGCGCTGTGTGGACGGCTGTCATTGTCCCGAGAAGACGCTGCTGCACAACGGCCAGTGCCTTCGGCCGCAGCAGTGCCCTTGCCTGCTGCACGGCAGGGAGTACCGGGCCGGGAGTCTGGTCAAGCGTGAATGCAACTCCTGGTACGCTTTGCAGTGCCATCATGATGCGTGGAACTAAGTTACTAATTTGATTGAGAGGGATAACTTATACGGATCACCTTCAATTTTAGACGTTAGGAAAGCATAAATTTTTCAACTAATCGGTAACACTAATCTCGAGGTATTACTCTTTTCAAGAAGTCCAGATTTTTTTTCTGCTGCAGCGACGTGCTCACTGCCCAGACCAATCGCAACTGAGGTCTTCGTTGACTTCTTAAGGCCCGTTTAAAAACTTGCGACTCCTTAAAACCGAGTGTCTTACAATTTCTTAAAATCTCTTGCGACGAGAAAACACACTGACATTATATATTATGGTATTTTCGAGGTCAAATATGTGTACTACTTATGAGAAAAGTTCGTTTATAACATTGACAAAAGCTTTTCAAGCCAAAAAAAAAAAAAAAAAAAAAAGACGGGCGCCCGAAAGAAATTAACAATATAAATATAATATATTGTATATATTGTTATAATATATAACAATATTAACAATATAATATTAATAAGTTTTTCATCTACACAGTGGTGTCTGGTGTAAAAGATAAGCGATTAATTGGTCTAACAAGCACCTAGCTTTCCCTTGTAGAGATGAACAGCCTGCCTTTATTCTCTTTTGGCCCGAAGCCCATGCATTTCACTGTCCTCTTAAAGGGATACTACAACGAAATTTCGGCGCTCGTTTTTTGGTCTATATGTGTTCAAAAAAGCAGCATCACATCGAACATACCAATATCTTGTTAAAAATGTCACAAAAAGGAATTTTAAAACGAATTAAACGATTAGCAAAGAGCACCTGGTGGATGTCGCTAACGCCTCGCTTGTAATGCCCGTCAAGGAACCTTGACAGCTAGTGACGGAGGTTGTCTCGCCTCCGGCCACGACGAGAGAAGAGGGGCAGGAGGAACTCCCCTCTTCCCGAGAATGCCTTTTGTGTGTCGCAGAAGTCGCTATTGTCCCCCTAAAAGATTACAGAAGATTAACCCGTCACTCAAAATTCGTACAAAAGCAGCCGCTTCGGTGGCTGGAACGACTAGGCCATCCTCTCGACTTCAGCCTCGCCGTAGCTATGCTCGTCCTGAGACGACCTACGTCGCGATTGCGTTGGATGTCACGTGGTCTCCGCTGGGCCTTCTCCGAACGCTTGCCAGAGTGTGCCGTTTATAACGAAAAATACAGCCACCAGGCTCAAAATACAAACGTGCGATTGTCATTTACAAATATTGTGGATCATATTCAACCTATTTTTGAACACGACGGGAATATTTCAAATTTCGTTGAAGTATCCCTTGAATGGAGGTCTTTGACGTCATTTTCGTTGCGTGTGCTCGCGCACACTGGCGGCTGCTGGCTCGTGGAAAGAACGTGCATCACTTATTATGGGCACTAAATTCTTTGGTTCAGTATCCCTTTAAGAGGTTTTAAGGAACTCGGTCCTAAGAAGATGCAATTGTGTGAACAGACCTTTAAACACGCGAATGGGATAAACTTTATAATTTTTGAGACAGCGTTCGACTTTTGATATGCATCACCATAGCGTCTTCATTAATACTTTTCACCCAATTTTCCCTTAATTTCTGTTTTCTTTTCCCAACTTTTTTCCCACTTCTCTTTTCCCCTGCACGAGTAGAAATCTAGTTACGTATTGTTTAAACCGGATACGACGGAACTAAAGGGACAGTACAACAACACGCCTTTTAACTAAGTTTATGTTAACATGTCCCTCTATTTCCCTCACGAATTTACCTCTCTTTCTTTCCTGATGCAGTGAGTGCAGGGGAGGCGAGTGGCAGTGCACATCAAACCCGTGTCCCTCGCGCTGCGTAGCGAACGGAGATCCCTTCTACTCCACCTTTGACGGCAAGACGTACGAGTTTAGTGGACAGTGTCCCTACTACTTACTGCATTCGAAGAACTTCAGCGTGATCCAGGAACTCGGCCACTGCCCCACTGACGCTGCCGCCGCTGTCAAGGTGCCGGAGGGAACCGCCAAGGACTGCTACAAGTCTGTCACTGTGGCTTCCGGCAAGGATGTCGTGATCATCGAACGCGGAAAGGTACACGTTCACGAGCCTTCTTGACAAAGTTATGAATGCTTTATCAATGTCAATGTTAGCTAAGTTTTTTTGTTTGTTGGTTGTTATTTAGGTGACGGTGAACAGCTATCAGGTTCAGCTGCCATACTCAAGCTCAGAGGTCATCATCTACCCGGCATCATCGGAAATTACGAGGGTACGTTCTTTCAAAAAATCTCCTCACAAAGGGAAAAAAAAAAAAAAAAAAAAAAAAAAAAAACCGCAAAACTGCTACAATTGGCGTCAAATATTTTGTTTTTCAGAATATATCCGTAGCTCTCAAGTCTTAAACTTGAGGGCGAATGCTACAGCGCCCCTGGCCGAGAAAAACAATTAGGTCTGAAAAAAAAAAAAAAAGCGAAGTGTACAGGGGCAACGAACACGATGTTTCATCTGATCATTGTCCCTGATTCCATCGCATTTTTTTACGGCTAACTGTATTCTAAGCTTCGCCGTGATGTTCGCCGTAGTTGACCGTCTTCTTGTTCTGCAGGCAAGATAACTCGCAGGCTTTTTTGTTATAGTCGCTGACAGCTCAAGAAACGTAGGGAGTGACTTTATATGTTCACGCTTTGTGAATGGCTCTTGGGCGGTCTTATCGGCTAATGCCGCAGTCTGATTGGCTGCGGAGCTTTAATGAGATGCTCAGAACTCGCCACGCCCCGCGATTCGTACTTGGTCAGTGACTTTAGAGTGCAGAATCTTTGCTGTTGTTGTTGACATCCATGGTAGCGTCGTAGTTCGATTCCTTGGTTTCTACTATCAAGTTCTCAATCGAGGAAAAAGCTGCTAGAATAGACCTTTTTCGAAGGTCCATATCAAGCAACGTATGGACTCTTTTCGCAGGGGCGCAGGCATCTTGATTTGTCGTCACTTCCGGTATGGGCGAAAGCACTGTTTTGCCGTCGCCACGCCAAATGAGGACATTTAGGGTATAAGCGCCACCGCCACACATCCTCCTTTTGCCTCTCCTCCATTTTTGTACTATTTACAGATTTAAACGTTTTATAATTTTTTGTCGTCCATACCGGATACGCCTATTACGTGGCTAAGGACGAGAGTACACGAAAAGGGTCTATAGGTAGTCGCCGTTTCTCGAACACGAACCTTGTGATTGGATACGAGTCCTTCACGAACGCTGACACAAGCACCCGCACTTCAATTTTATACGACCTGAGTACGTGCTCAGCCATTGTGCCCAATATACGTGCTCAGAGTAATACCCGTGCCACACGGGCTACTCGAATGACATTTACAACGAATGACATTTGTCTGATTGGCCAATCAGCTCGCAATCTGTCGCGCGTGGAATGCGCCACGCCCGGAGTGTCGCGCGCTGATTGGCCGTCCGCTCAAATGTCATTCATTGTAAATGGCATTCGAGTTGCCCGTGTGGCAGGGGTATAAGTAGGCCAAAAAATGGTGGACTCGGATAATTCACGCAGCAGCTACTTGATGGCGTACACTTTTGAATATGATGTATTACGCATGGTTTGCATGTGGCATCATCGCCCCGTGCTGAGGGTCACTTGTGTTTCTTCATGCCGAGAAAAAAAAATTTAAAGGTGTGAAGTGTATGCTGCAGAAGGACGTACGCGATCGGCGGTATGGTCACCAGAATGGCCGCTGTCGTGATGTCAGTGCAAGCCATGCATACGCGCTTTCTCTGCCCAGGCTCAGTTTCCGAACGGCGTTGTGCTTCTCTGGGATCGGCACTCGAGGCTGCACATCGACAGTCCTCCAGGGCTCCAGGGCCAGTTCCAGGGTCTGTGCGGCACCAACAACCTGAACCAGAAGGACGACTTCTGGACGCCCACGGGCGACGTGGAGGTGGAGGTCCGGTCGTTCGCCGAAAAGTGGAAAGTGGACGACTCGTGCACGGAAGAGGAGTCCCTCGAGAAGCATCCCTGCGAAAGAGCCCCTCAGAGGGTGTCCGGAGCAAAACGGTTGTGCAAAGAACTCTACGCAGACTACTTTCGAGGTGCGTCCGCATGTCAGGATACACGTAGACAACTGCTTCTCCCTATCGTGGGTGTATTTAGGAGAGAAGCATAACTCAGAGAGCAGGACCGATGAGATGGGACAGCTCGGCAGCTTTTCTTTTGGGCCGTGCACGCCTCCGCAAAGCACATCCAAAGCCAATCACTGCTGTGGAACGGCTGTTGTTGCAGAGCGCGCATCAGCCCAGTCACTCAGTGAGGCAACGGAGATTGCGCTTTGGTGACGATATATGATGCGCGAGATATGTCATTTTTCTAAGTAATTTTCTTGAGTGTGATATGATCTGAATTTCGCTCATTCTGAGGACGGTAGACATAGGGGTCTTTCTGAGGGGGTTCCCATTCTCAAAAATAATAGGTGAGAGAGATCAAGGAGCAAAAAGGTATCAAGACGTACGCCACGAGAAAAAGGTATAGACATAACATGTTTCGTTTAATAGAGCCCTCTAAAAGCTTTATTGCAGGAGCTTGAGAGTGGAAAAGCAGGGTATGGAATATTCTTTTTTCTTTATATAAACTTCAGCAACTTCGGACACGCGTTTCCCCATCGGCCGTGTTAACAATTTTTTGTTTTCATTCTAACGAGCATTTTTTAGCGTTGCACTAATATCCATATTTCCGGTCTTTCTGCAGAGTGTCATTACCTGGTGGATCCTGAGCCGTACTACAAGATGTGTCTGCACCGTACCTGTGCGTGCGACAAGGCCCTGAAGGATTGCATATGTCCCTCTTTCGCCGACTACGCCGCCGAGTGCACGAGGAAAGGAAGGCTAACCCAGTGGCGCCAGTACATTCCTCCATGCAGTAAGACTTCCAAGGTCCAAACTACTATTAAAAAAAAAAGAGTTGCTAAAATGTTTAGCAGTTAAGACTTTTTTTTGAACAAATACTCCGAGATTCGAATTTACAGTGGCAAAAAAAAAAAAAAAAAAAATACCCACCTTCACAGAAAAAGACTACAATGTTTTATGTGAATGCTTTGCAAGTTGGCATGTCCATTAATTTTTATCTTGGTGCAAACACAAAAAAAGAATATATTGAATAAAGTTTTAAAGAAAGGGAAAACGGAAAATACCAAAACAAAAACACATGCTCCTAATATTTGCCGTAAAACGAACCATTAGAAAGATTAACTGTACAAATGGGACAATTGAACTGTAGGAATATATGTCTACAAGCACTACACCAGGTGGGGCTACCTTCCATTGCTAAAAAGTATACGCGCTACTTCTCTCGATGAACTTAATACAGCGACTGCTAAAATTCCCTTTCGAGTTGCGTGGCAACCTGAAGAAGGTTCGACGGCAGGCTTCATTTCGGCCCGCTGATTACGGAATCTAGGATCATACAAGACCTCCTAAAGTCGTTGTCACAGAAGGAAACAATGAAGTTTTTCACATTATTTTTTCGCCGCGCGAAGTAGTACATACAATATTTGGTTATCGAAGGACGAAGCTTTTGGTGTTTCAAACAAATGCCTCTTGATAAAGCAACATAAAGCTAATCTAAGATGCACCTGCACCTTAATTCAACGCGTGAAGAGGGAAATTCGTAACGTCCCGCAAGGAGCCGGGGTCGTTTCACTGCGGATCTCGTGGCGAATACGAGTGCACAGGCAACAAATCCGTGGGGCTGAATTTTCGGTGTCGACTAAAGAACGCCACCACAGGCCACGAGTACACGATTTCTGCGTCAGCGTTTGGCATGAAACTCGTGTTCTCACTGATCGAACACCAGCGTCGGCCGATCGCTGACACAGCATTCGTGTCTGTGCCCCGCGGCGGACTTCTTTGGGTGACGGCGAATATTAGGCACTACGGATATGTTACTTTAGTTAAGGACAACTTAAGAAACGCAGGGCGTAGCACTAGTCCCAAGCATCTCGTTTTCGCTCCTCCGCCCCCGACATTGCAGCATTAGCCGACAAGAACGCCAAAGAACGAATCAAGAAGCATGAGCATCATAAGCTTAGCCTTGCGTTTCTTGTACTGTCGATTACTATCGACCAACACACCGTTTACAAACAAGTCCGCGTTTGCCCACACCGGGTGTGGGCACTGCGCGGGCGCAGAAACCAGATTCGCGCGAGGCGAAGCATTTGCGCATGCTCAGTACCGATAGCAGCGCCACCGCAGTGGTGCGACATCAGAGAGTTGAGTTGGTCTATGCCGTTTTCCGGCGCTTATCACAGGCGAAAAATGCCGAGTCGCTGAGTTGTGGACGCGTGCGCCGAGTCTGATTTTCCGCGAAAGAGATCAAAATACTACCCTTCCAATCACCCCAAGGAGGTGATTGGAACGGCCTGTACGGAGAGGGACTGAGGGAGAGGAAGAGAGCGTGCGGTGGGGGGGGGGGGGGGGGGGGGGGACGTTATAATGCCGAGCTCTGATTGGAAGGATTAGTGGGTGAGCTCGATGGCTAGCCGCCTTCTAGCCTTTGGGTCTGCCCACTATCCTTCCGATCAGGACTGGGCTCTCTGACGTCACTACACGCTCTCCTCCTCTAGGCATATCCGGTATGGGCGAAGAAAAATATCAGAACGTTTCCACCTGGAAACAGTAAAAAAAAAAGTAGAGGGGAGTCAAAACGAGAATGTGTGACGGTGACGTTTTTGTCCTAAACGCCTCTATTGGCGTGGCGACGGCAAAACAATGTCTTCGCCCATACTGGAAGTGACGACAATTCAAGATGGCGGCGCCCTTGCGAAAAAGGTCTATAGAAGATGGTTCGATTGTGTCCTCCGCAGAAGTGGAGTGCTCGAAGGACATGGCGTGGAGCGAGTGCGTCCGCGAGAAGTCCTGCTTCGAGATCGCCCTCGGAGATTCCGGAAACCAGACGTGTGTGGAAGGTTGCGCTTGCGTGGCCGGCTACGAGGAAGACGGTGCGTGCGTACCCATAGATGACTGCTCGTGCCTGCATGACCATAGGCAGCATCCGGCGGGTACCACGAAGAAGATCGCTGGTCAGATGTGGTAAGTAGAAGCCTTTGGACGGATGGATGAATGAATGAATGAATACGGCTGAACCCTTTTATTCGGGCAGCGGCTTGAGTCACCTTGCAGAAACTTTTTTTTTTAAATTATCTAATCTCACATGAATTATTTTGAAGAACGTTTCGGTGCGCTTTCTCAGGAAAAGTATTCTTAATCGTCTTTTTTTTTTTTTGGAAAGCCGCTTATGTGGTTGAGGCAAGGCGCCGGTTCAAGGATTCCCAGTCGGCAAATTCCAATCCCGGCCAGGTGCCCGCAATCTGGCGGAGGGAACTCTATTGTGGGGAAGGTGCCTTATAGTCAAGATTTCGGCTGGACATTAATAAATTCTTTTGAGGTCGAAATGCATCCTCAGCTAGTCCTCCACAGGGGCGTGCAAGATGCCGTTCGTTGGCTTAGTACGCAAGAACATCCAAATATGACTTTGAATTCTCGTTCCTTCGTAGTACTTAGTATTTTTGTTCACTGTTCTAGCTACCTGTGCGCGCCAACACCTTCTTGCAAAGTAGTGTTTGCATTAACGTGCGCTGATCTGGCACTTTTTTTTAATAATGTCATATTACGTGCCAATTTGTCACGAGCATGCAGCGGCGTGTCAAAATACTGGTACCGGTTTAACATCATCAACCAGTACCCGCAGCTAGGGCTATGAGAATGATGATGAGAGGACAGCACGCCCCGCGCCGACCTTCGCACTCTCGCGGCTGCCTCACCCAGCGGCGCAGCAGTCACCAGCGAGCCAGGGATGCTTTCGCATTCTCAACTCATAAGAAATGCTTAGGTGTCCGGAATTTTCGGTAATGTCTCAGTAACGTGTTTTCTGTTTTTTTTTTCTTGTATATAGCCACGAAGTTCATTTACGACAGATCATGCTAGATCATGCTTCCCTAATGTCCGAACGAGCGTCTGCGATTTTTTTTTTAGCATAATTATTTTTGTTTTGTTTTTTAGAATGGATGCTTGGGCGAGCTGGGTATTCATAATGCAGGAAATAGCGTAAAAGTAAACTCACTTACACTAAAAATACACGTACACCAGAGCTAGAGCACTAGCGCGACGTGAGTGACCTTTTTTCTGGTGTGCGTGTATTTTCAGTGTGAGTGAGTTTATTTTTGCCGTTGCGCTATTCTCTTCGCTGATCGAATGAGGGCATTGATCCGATATTTTTTGTGTTTTGCATTCTATTTCAAGAATTATTGGGGGAGCGCCGAAACTTTTTGCACAATTTCTCGTTGCGGTTTATAGCTTTGAGGATATCTGAAGTAAGCTAGGGCAATCTGGGTTTACGTTTCTCGACATAAACAACTGTTTTTGATAGCTCAATGAAAATTTCAATTACATCAATGAACATAGAGTACATGTTTACGCTGTTTACTGAAAAAAAATGTTCCCAATCATATTTCTTATTGAGCTGATCAAATGTATTAAAGTCGAGCCCTTCGAGACGAAACCTATCCTCGAAATCTTGAACTGACTTAGAAATAGAAACACATTTACAAGCGACGAAATAATGATCAGCGAGCTTTTGTGAAATTACAGCGGAATGAGTGGAAGCATCTGAGACTCGTACAGTGACATGGTCGAGGCACGAAGAAACAAGATTGCCATTTAACACTGCTTCCCTCGTTGAACTGAGAATAGTAGGTATTATTCCATTCTCTGGAAGTAAAATAAATAATCGCAAACAGATGATTTTGAAGTCTTTGAAGTTTTTGAGGGTGCCGATATTGATATCTTCTACCATAGATAGATGTGCTTAATTAGATAGTCCTCGTAAGATTTCATTCTGCTCTTCTAAGAGGTTGGAACGGTTTGACGAGGGAGGTCTGTAGAGTGCTAGCAAGCAAACTGAGTGACAAGCACTAGAGACTTTCCGAGTGTTTAAAGATTAGACTGATGTGGGCAGTTGTCCACGAGTCTTTTATAAATACGCTAATTCTGCCTCCTCGAGTGTTTTGACGAGCGTAGAAAAAACTCACGATGAAAAACAGCGCGAAAAACACAAGAACATCGCCCGGTGGGCATTGCAGTAAGGGGGCGGGGGAGGGCGAAAGAAATTTACAAAAACAAACGTACAGCAGAACAACAACAAATAACAAGGCAAGCAGGAGAAACATGCCAATATATACTGCAATAATATAAGAAAATGAATAACAGAATGCAGAAGTCACACAAAAAATCATCTAACCGACTATAATAACATAATTTCATCAAAAAACGATTGTACATTAGGAAGTTCTGCCAGTGCGTCGGGCAGCACGTTCCTGTCATTAACTGTAAAAAAAAAAAAAATTAGATCGTCGGTTTATGTGCGAAATTCTTTTATCTTTTTTGATTACTAGTTCTAAGAGAAACGTAATGAGGTTCCAGTAGGTATCTCGACTTATCCATACCGATGCTACCGTGATAAAGATTATACATAAACTTGAGACGGAGGCACTTTCGTCTTAGTTGTAAAGGTTTCCATCCGAGTTGAAGCTTTAACCGAGAGACATTATCATGAAAATTATAGTTATTTAGCACATATCTTGCGGCCTGATTCTGAATTCTTTTGATTTGATTTATACATGTTTGCGTGTGTGGGTCCCAAAGAGTACGAGCATAGTCCGGGATTGGGAGGACGTAATATAAGTAGAGGGTTTCTTTCCAATGAGCCGACACTTTTCCGAAATTGCGACGCAAAAGATGGAGCATGCCACTGGCCTTAGAACATAATAACTTCATATGATTATTCCATCTGAAATCAGCGGTTAGGCGTACCCCGAGATATACTGCCTCAGTGCTAAGTTGCAAAGGAAGATTGTTTAGTTTAAAAACGGCAGAGACAATTTTACGTTTTCTAGTGAATCGAACGTGGACACATTTGGATACATTAAGGAACATTTTACACTTGTCACCCACTCTGTGATCTTATTTAAATCACCCTGTAGGGCCTGGACGTCGTCGTCATCGGTCACTTCTCTGTATAAAACGCAATCGACAGCATGCAGCCTTCTATTCGATGAAATTCCGTGCGTGATATTATTAATGAAAATTAGAAAAGGGAGGGGGCCTAAAACAGAGCCTTGTGGTACACCTGACATTACATCTACATATGATGAATGAAATCCATTCATGATGACGCGCTGTTACCTAGCATTACGATCATTTGCTATCCATTGCAAAACTTTTACATCGATGTTTAGGCTATGTAATTTATGAAGCAAGAGCGAGTGATTAACTACGTCAAAAGCTTTCCTGAAATCTAGAAAAATACAATCAGTTTGGCAGCATCTATCAAACGCACAAGCAAGGTCGTGGTAAAATTCTAGGAGCGGAGTGTTACATGATAACCCTGTGCGGAAACCGCGTTGAGCTGAGGAGAAGTAATTGTTGATATTTAAGTGACTAATAAGGTTAGAATAAATTATATGTTCCATTATTTTACAACATTCACTCGTTAGGGAAATCGGCCTATAGTGTTCGACACCATTTTTTTTACCGTTCTTGTGTGTTGGGACTACATTACCAAACTTCCAATCAGCAGGTAGACGTCCACTCTCTAGCGACATCGTAAATAATATTAATAAGTGTGATGCTATAATATCGGCGCAAGATTTCAATACGATATTTGCAATTCCATCCGGCCCAGGTGCTTATCCTAGTTTTATATTGCCTAGTAATCTTCTTATGCCATTGTGATCGAATGCGAGTTCGTTCATTTTACCGCTAACTTTGTCAACCATCGGCGGAAGTGATAAAGGTGCGAAAGTAGAAAACACAGACTTTAAGTATTTATTTAAAGCGGCCCAACTATCCATTCTTGTGAGAAAAAACTCCGAAATCCTAATAGGTTAAATTATGACAAACGATCCGCAGTGGAATTTATTTCAGTCAAAACAAAAGCCTCAATTTGGTCACGTATTTTATCAACGATTCCTTTAAAATCGTCCAAGTATTTTCATATATTGCGAATTTTAACGTGTAAAACTGTGAGTCAAAAGAAGTGGAAAACGAGTCGTTCAGCGAGAGAAAATTAGCGTACTGTAAAAAAGTAGCCATTATCATTACGCAGTTAGTTGCAGGTCACTTCGTTGCAGAATCTGTTCTAAAAGACCGCTTAGTTTCTTTCTATTTATTTATTTTATTTATTTATTTGCCCTAAGGGCCCTTACGGGCATTACATGTAAGAGGGGGGGGGGGGGGGGGCGACGGTACAAAATTTTAGATTGTCACAAAGTAGCGTAGATTCGCACGTTCTTCATCCAAACAAATGTGTAATCATTCTTCTTTCCAGAGCGAGCCAGCAAGAAAAGTTCCGTTTGTCTGAGTTAGGTTGTCGTTGAAATATAGTATTTCGGGTGAACTCTCACAAGACAATGACTTAAGTTTGCCACGCGCTTGAACGCACCGATCTTTAGCGGTGATGGATACAAACTTCACCAGAATAAGGAGCATTCACTGGGCGCCATATTTGTGGGTGATGTCCAGAGCGCAAGCTCTGAACGAGCCCACATTAATAGGCTGCTAAGACCGGCAATCTTGAGGGTGCGGAATGCACGTTACAAAAGAACTGTGAAAGCTCGTCATCAGCACGCGCTCAGCAGTTGTGCACACAGCTATGGCCGCCAGTGAATACTTCCTACATGTAGCCCCGTGCGCGACCGAAAGCGTCGCTGTGGTCGGCCGTCCACGATTGGCCGAACGCTGACTATGACGTAGGAAAGGGGATTTATCATCGACGGAAATAAGTGGAATGAAAGAACTTTAATTTTGACGGTGTTGGCAGTGTTGCTTTAAGAGCTCAATGATTTCAAGCTTCCACCATGCTATTTACGAACACCATCGAACTTGTTGTTAGCAAGGTAAGGACGTAAGAAGGGGGAACCATAGGAGGGCGCCACCAAAACATCTCGCCGCTAATAGCTGTGTGCGCGAATACTGAGCGCGTGCTGATGGCGAGCTTCCACGGCTCTTTTGCAACGTGCATTCCGCACCCTCAA